GCCTACCCTGTGCCTACAAACTTGAAGGAAGTTCAGCGTTTCCTCGGGTTAGCGGGGTGGTATCACAGGTTTGTTCCAAATTTTTCTAAGATTTCTGAACCCCTTAACGCACTGAAAAAAAAGGGACATAGTTACAAATGGACAACCCAGTGTCAACAAGCGTTTGACCAACTCAAGACTTGCCTCACCTCACCACCTATTCTTGGCCATCCCGATCTTCAGCGTCCATTCATCGTGTACACCGATGCAAGTGATACTGGTCTGGGTGCCATATTAGCACAACGGAAGGATGCTGGCAGAGAGGAGGTTATCGCCTATGCAAGTCGAACCTTAACTGGGGCTGAACTCAATTACACTGCAACAGAGAAAGAATGTCTGGCAGTCATCTGGGCCCTGGAAAAGTGGCAACATTACTTGGAGCACAAGCTTTTTACAGTTGTTACCGACCATGCTGCACTGCAATGGGTCATGAACTCCACCAAAACCACCAGCCGCCTCATTCGTTGGGTTCTGCGATTGCAGAAATTCGATTTTGTTATTGAGTACCGAAAAGGGAAGCTAAATGTAGCTCCGGATGCTCTATCCAGGTCTTCAAATACCCCAGGATGTAACCTATACACCAGCGGAAAAGACCCAGCACTGCCTGTGTCAGATGTTGTCCTATGGGAAGAACAGCACAAAGACCCTGAAGTTTCAAAATTATTGCAAGCAGTTGCAGATAATTGTGCCAGTCTGATTGACCAGTATGAAATTATTGAGGACAAATTGTATCATAAAACATACCTGTCAAATAACCAACTGCATTACAGAATCTACGTTCCCAGCACTCTGAGATCCACCCTTCTCCCCAGCATTATCACTCCACTCCCATGAGTGGCCATGGCGGAATCTACAAGACCTATAAACGACTTCAGGAAGTAGCATTCTGGCCTGGCATGTGGACAGCCGTAAAACAGCATGTGAGAACCTGTGTAAAATGTCAGACTCTGAAAAGTGATAACCGAAAACCTGCTGGAAAGTTACAGCAATTCACTACCAGCCGCCCAAACCAAATGCTGGGAGTCGACCTCATGGGACCATTACCCCGTAGCACAAATCAAAATGAATACCTGTTGGTTTTTGTCGATTACTATTCCCGATGGGTTGAGTTGTTTCCCATTCGCAATGCCACAGCCAAGAATATCGCCACCATCTTCAGGAAAGACATCCTAACACGGTGGGGCGTACCGGATTTCATTCTCTCAGATAGAGGCGCTCAGTTTGTTTCATCTGTTTTTAGAGAACTATGTGAGAACTGGAGTGTTACTCCTAAATTAACTACAGCCTATCACCCACAGACCAACATGACCGAAAGAGTAAATCGAACTCTCAAGAGCATGATGGCAGCCTATGTGGATGACAATCACCAGAAATGGGACCAATTCTTACCAGAATTCAGATTCGCCCTTAATTCAGCTGTTCAAGAGACCACTGGACTAACCCCAGCAGAACTCCAGCTTGGTAGAAAACTCAAAAGTCCAATGGACAAAATACTCTGTGGGCCTAATCTAACTCCAGACGCTGCCTCCTATGATGTAGTTCATCATCTCCATCACCTGCAAGCTCAAGCCAAAGAGAATAGCAAGAAAGCCAAAATGAGACAATTGCGAAATTATAACAAGAATAGAAGAGATGAACTATTCAAAAACAAAGACCGAGTGTGGTTGCGCAACTTTCCTCAGTCTAATGCACAGCGTAAATTTAGTGCAAAACTAGCACAAAAATGGAAAGGTCCTTACCGTATTCTCCAGCAGCTGGGTCCTGTGAACTACCAAATAGCCCTTGAAGACACAGGAGAAGATGTACGCACAGCTCACGTTTGCAATTTGAAAATGTGTTATCCAACGGCTGCTGAAATTGAATTACAGGAAAAAGCGAAACTCCTGGATCTATTCCAAGAAACCTCAGATGACGAAGATTTTCTAGGATTTTAATTGTTGGTTTCTCTCTCTTTTAAACAACCATGGGTTGTTTTCTTCTAGGGGGGGAGAGTGTGGCAATGAAGAAAATCTGTGCCGCGAGTCACATAATTGATTGTTTACTTTCACTGTCACGTTACGCAAAATGGGAGGAGTATGGCAAACAAATTAACGTTAATCACGGAAGGAAATTGAATATAAGGAAGTGTGTCGTACCTGGGAAAGGCGTCACCCGTTTGTGCATTGAGAAGTTTAGTGAAATCGTGACGGATCGTTGGGGAGAGACGGCCGCTTGTCGATCTGTTGTTTCCTGTGGTTGAAGTCTGGTGCGTCGCGAAAGTCGGTGCATTCCCAGACAAACAATGATGGAGCTGTTTTAAAGACAAGCCAAAGCTGCTGTATCCGCCTATCCTAGTGTCGAAGAGGACACTCGATACTCACTACACCTGTTTCTTGCCTGCAAATGTGGTCAGTACTAGGGGTGCGCCGATCCGATATTCGGTATCGGTATTAGTCCGATACTGGCCAAAATCACTGGATCGGATATTGTATGAATCGCGGGAGTATATTCCGATCCGATACGACCACGGACCTAGTCCTAAACTGTCAAACAAATGCTTAACAACACCTGAGAGACATGCCGTAAAGAGAGAGGAGCAACATGCGTCTCGCTGCAGCTGCACGCAGGGTCGCCAGATTTTCACAACAAAACCCGCCCAATTGTATTTAAAAAAATAGCCAATCGCATTTCGGGGTGTGAGAGGGAGCGCGGACTTGGCAACACTGGCGTCACGTGAAGAGTAGCTAGAACGTGACTGAGTGAGGTGAGACCTGTCAGCAAATATCATGTCAGCTGTGTGGAGTTATTTTAAAAAAGTGTGCATGCTGTTTTGTGAGTCTCCGCAACGGCGATAGATTGGAGCGCGTCCAAGTGAAGATTGTGCGCGCGCGCCACAAGAGAACTGTATCCATGCAACTGATAGCAGCGCTCAGCTTGATAAAAAAAAAAAAAAAAAAAACATTTTAGCGCTAGATCGTCTAACTATGTTAATTAATGCTCTGTAAAATGGAGATGTTTTATTTATTTGTATTACATCTGTGCCTCATAATGTTTCAAAAGTGGTGGGGGGCAATATCGATCCTGAGAAAAAGTGGCTGGGACATGTCGCACCCTCAAATTACACCTATGAACCCCTGATGTTACATGTGAAAAACTTTAGAGCTTGGATTGTCTACCCAAAATGTTTTTCCCCTTTATCAGGTGTGTAATGGCCTAGTAGAGTTTAATTTGTGAGTGCCTTATTGTACTATTCTGTTCTATTGTACATTTTATAATGGAGATACCATTATTTTTAAGGTAGGTTATACTTATTTAAGTTATGATTACATAGAGTTTTGTGTTACATCCAGTATTTGGAACTGGAATTATATATTTTTTTATTTGCACAGTTGGACTTTAAATTTAATTAATTGAATGGTGCTGAATAATTAAAAATGCTGCTACAAGCTCTGTTTAAAAATTATTTTAATAAAAATTAAGCAGTACGTATTTCTTCCTTTAGGGGAGTAGAACATTTATTGCACTATTTGAGCATGATGCTTTTTAGATGGCTAGGTTAAGCACAGTGCATCCTCCTGACAAACGTGTTATTAACAGCTTAATTAAGAGGGAGAAAAATATGGTATGGTATTGTATCAGTATCGGTATCGGCAGATACTCAAGTTTGTGGTATCGGTATCGGACATGAAAAAGTGGTATCGAGCCACCCCTAGTCAGTACCGCTGCGACGCCATACACACATTACGCACACACCCACTCGCATTTCACTTTTGCACATTCAGTGTGCTTAGTTGTTTTTCATAATTTGGTGTTGCCTGTTAAAATGATTGTTTGCTGTTGGTGATTTACAACAAAATGAATGAGTTGTTTACTTTTTTTCTTTTTTCCTTTCATATGAACAATTGTGAATGAATGTGGACACGAATCTGCCAACGTGGATTAGTGACGCGTTGTGACGCGATGGGACGCGTGGATGTTGCGTTGAAGTGAAGACGTGGGAAGTTTTGCACGGATTTAAAGAAACGTCAGAGATGAGATATACCGTGGAACTTTTTGTGTGTTATTAGTATTATTATGAATAAATATCCTTTGTGAAATGATTTTTCTTTTTTGATTATTACTATAATTTTTTGTGTGTGTAACAGGTGGTTATTTTTTGGCTATCCTGGGTTCATTTAAATTTTGACAGGTTTTATCCTGTCTGGCGCCCGAACTCTTCTTTAAAGTCATTTATTTGTATTAGGGCGGCCACCACCGTTACAATAATCTGGGGTTTTCTTCCTCCTGACATGGCAAGACAAAGCATCAATGTTCTTGATGAGCAGTCAGCATTTTCTGATTTCTCTGCACTCTTTAAATAAATGTCAAAAAATGCTATACGTCACATTACTGACATAAATTAGATATTAAATTGGTTTTGTAAAGAGGGTTCCAAAGAATTAAGTCAATCTCCCCTCTCTCTCTCTCTCTCTCTCTCTCTCTCTCTCTCTCTCTCTCTAATTCAATTCAAATCTGCTTTATTGGCATGACAATTATTTCAATGTATTGCCAAAGCCTTTCCAATCATCATACATATACGTACATTAAATAAATAAATAGATAAATAAATAATAAAATAAAAAGGTAAGTAGAACAATTAATCAACATTTCAGAATTCTATGAACAATTTAGAATTCAGTGAGTGTTTGTGAGTGTGTGTGTGTGTATGTGAGCGCATTACTGATTAGTCGACTCCTCCCTCTTTTTGTGACAGGCATCAATATATCTTGCTGCTAGTAGGATACAATCTCTTTTTTCACCTAATAAATGTTGAAGTTGTGTTTTATTGTTTAATTTTGTGATGTGAAATTCTCTCTCTCTCTCTCTCTCTCTCTCTCTCTCTCTCTCTCTCTCTCTCTCTCTCTCTCTCTCTCTCTCTCTCTCTCTCTGCCATTAAAACCATCATATATTCATTAATTTTTGTATTATGTATGTACATGTAGGAAAACTCTGAAGCTCTCAGACCGCTGCAGCCCAATGGCTGGTAAAGAAATGAAGAACAGGGGTGGTAAATGTCTGAAGGAAGTTCATACAGTTACTGAGGCTTTAAAGACCCTCTACCGGCAAAAATTGCTCCCTCTGGAGAAGTATTATGGTTTCTCCGATTTCCACTCATCAAGCCTTGAAGATGCAGACTTCGACAACAAGCCCATGATACTAGTGTTGGGTCAGTGCTCTACAGGCAAGACCACTTTTATCAGGTGAATAATGATCGCATCTTTCTTCAGAACAATATGCATAGTTAAGTGCTATAAAAAATAAAAATAAACACTTGTTACATGTGAATTAATAAAAGTATAAAAACATGTTTAAGATATATTTCACATCTAGTAAGTAATGTAATGTCTTGAAGAAGTGCATCTTTTACCACTGTTATACTAATATTATATTATATTATCCATTAAACAGGCAAGAGTGGAAATATCTGGACTACATGCATCTCATGGGGATTCAAGTATTTCACAATGTGATAAATAACAGCATGAACAACATATGACTTGTTTTTCAGCATCATAAGACAATGTTCATAATCTCTTTTATTTTTTTTTATTTTTTACTGAGGAAAAGATTAATATGTAATTACTAAATCAGAATGTCCTGCACCATTGGCAGCAGTGTTGATTTTAGGTCAGGCATACTAAACAAACTCAGAAAACTTGAACAAAGGCATGTGACCCACATTCTTAAAACAGGTCCAATTGTGATAAATGAATAAAGTACTGGATGAGAAACTTTCCCACGCCTCCTACAAGAGACTGAAGAGTTGTAGTGCACATTGCCTGTTTAAGGGATTGTATGATCACACTTTAGATAAGGGCCCAAAACTTCTTTTGCCTCAATAAACTCATAATTACTGCTTTTAATAGGTAGTAAGTTAGTTGTTAAGTTTAGGAATGCCCATATCCTAATATGCATGCTGATAAGCAACTAGTTAATAGTGAGTATTGGACCCTAAACTAAAGTGTTACCAATTATATTATATTATCTAGTTTAAGCAGTGTGTTCTTATGTGTGTCAGATATCTTCTTGAACAAGAGTATCCAGGAAGCAGAGTAGGCCCAGAACCAACAACCAACAGTTTCACTGCTATAATGCATGGAGAGATTGAGGGAATTATTCATGGTAATGCTTTAACTGTGGATCCCAACAAGCCTTTCCGCAAACTCAGCCCATTTGGAACCACTTTCCTCAATCGGTAAGTGAGACAGAAGCAATGATGCAATAAGAAGAAATAATAATCACAGGGGAAAAACTCTGTTGAACTTGGACAGAAAGAGTCAAAATCACTCCACCAGCAGAGATTACTCTTGTGAAAGGGTGGACATAGCCTGGAGAAGAAAACATTAATGCATCATTATTTGGCTTAAGCTGACGGTATCCCTTTGAGGAAGCATCTGTGGATGTTTTTCCCATGTTCTGAAGATACTGATACTGAATTAGCATAAGACAGCTGGAATGAAGTAATGTTCATCTGCTTTTTCTCAGATTCCAGTGTGTACATCTACCCAACCGAGTCCTAGAGAGTATCAGCATCATTGACACACCAGGGATCCTGTCTGTGGCCAAACTCAAAATGAGTAGAGGTATGAAGTGTCATAAACAGTGCTGTACGCAACCAATGAAGGGATGAAACGACTTGCATGTAAATCATAATATTCACCCAAGGCCTGCCTTTATACTCCATATACAAGTAAAGAGGTGGAGTTGAATGTCTTCTCATTGATGTCGCCCTCAGAAGATTGCAATGCTCTTTGGTGCACATTATGCGACAATATAGGGTGAATTATAGGGCTTTTTTGTGCCCTTGAATGGCACTTCGGGAAGGGGATGCTGTTACAAATGGAATTGAACAACTGAATCCCTTCACTAAGGGCCCTTCTAAGTCTGTAAGTGAAGGGTGCATGTGATGATCACTTTAAGGAAGTAATTTGATCCTTTATGGTCATGTGACTGAGGGTGATGCATATAGATAAAAGTAACTACTTGCAGGATCCAAAGGAGACAGCAAGTTTAACAAGTTGAGGGAACACACACACACACACACTGGATTTTGTTGGGTTACCATGTTTTGTAGGGGACATTCCATAGACATAATGATTATAATACTGTACAAGCGGAATATTCTGTCTCCCTACACTAACCATAACAGATTTTTTTTGTTGCATTTTTAGATAAAAAAAAGAGATAATTCTGTTTGATTTATAAGCTTGTTTCCTCATGGGGACCAAAAAAAGGTAAAAATTTACTGGTATTACTTTACTTGTGGGGACATTTGTTCCCCATAACGTAGGAAATACCAAGACCACACACACAAATAAATAATTAATTTTAAAAAACAAATATCATTTTTAAATGTACATTCCAAGTGAAGATAATGAGAAAATTACATAGTCTTTCATTGCTCCTTTTGCCAAGTGCATTCCAAACGGGTACATTAGAGATGCAAGTGCCCTTCTCCCTCCAAAGTCCTCATTTTAAGAGCTCTGACTTTCAGAGTGACTAGGGTGGGGTTGGCTCCCTCAAGATCCACTTTCCTGCAGAGTTTAGCTCTAACCCTGATCAAACACACCTTCATATTAGAGCCCGACCGATATATCGGCGGGCCGATATTAGGCATTTTCCAAACTATCGGTATCGGCATTTATAATGGCCGATAAATGAATATTTTAAAAAATGCGGGTGCAGTGATTCATAAGGGTGGCGCTGCCAATAAAGCACCTAAAAGCTGTCACAAAGAACTGGCAAAAGTAATGATTATGAATACAACAAATATAGCAAGGAGACATTTTAATTGTTTATTAATTAACAAGTGTTTTCAGTCAGTGTCAGCCAAAGATGAAGTTGACCATGCTGACTTGCGATCTTCAGTGAACGCGCGCCAGAGAGAAATGCACATTTCATACGATTACAAAAGTCTGTCTGTCTTTCGTTTTGAATTGTTCTGTTTAAAAGTAGACATTTCAATTTCAGGTCTATACGCTGAGTTTCGGTTCATGAGACGAGCTCCAGTTCACCCCCAGGCGCCTCCGTGTCGAGATTATCTATCGTCTGCTATATTTACTTCTTAAATCCAGGCAATTGGTTGATGAAACATTGATTAAAATTAAGATACAATTAATACAAAACGAAATTCGATTTAAAGAAAGGTTTTGTGCTTTCTGTTTGATGTCTATGTGAAAGTTTCAAAGCATATTTTAGTGCCGCTTTCAGAGCGCTCACGTCCGTAGTGCTGAACTTGTCGCGTCTGTAACATTGTTTTTTCCTCATAAATGCGAACACGAAAAATAAAATAAAATGAATATTTTATGTAGCCTGTGGAGACTGAGAGCCAACCCTTCTTCATCCGGTGGGTAGTAGCCTACTTGTGATTTGCGCAGTGTAATTCACAGAATTAATTTCTCTACAAGCCTCTGTCACGTATTGTGTGAGCTTGTGACTCTTGCAAGCGCGGAGCTGAGAAGTCCTGATTATTTTGTCTGCTATATTTACTTCTTATTTATTAAAATCCAGGCTTTTGGTTGATGAAACATTGATTAAAATGCGTGGCGCGAGCAAAAAATCTCTGACAGTAAACTGATTCTGCTTTGTCTCGGGTAAACAGCTGTTGCGGCGCGAGCAGTAACGGCCGCGTCCAGTGTTGACAATGTTAAAGCTCATTCTGCCTATAACGCTATGTTACAACATCAAGCAATATTCCAATAATTTATATAATTATAACACTTTATATAGGGCCATTTTGCATTAAAGTAGCCTAGTTTCACATTTAGTACATTTTGCTTACTAATTATTTAAAATAGTATAAAAGTACTGTACATATGTAATTAAAAACGTTTCATTATGATATTATTAATTTTACTTTAGTAAAAAGATCTGAGTTCCTCCTCCACTGGTAGAGATTAGAGGAATTAAGAGTAAAAATAGAAGATAATAAGGTTTTGTCAGTGACACTTTTTATATATTTATTGATACAAGTTATGACTAAATTAAAAGACAAAGTCGTTAGTGAAGATTATGCAACAGTATTTATAATATAATATAATATAATATAACATGCAATGCAAACTAGTTTGGTTACATTTCAACTGTATAATTCTCATTCTATCATTCCCCCTGCCTCCATTACATATCTGTGTCACACAAGTGTTTGATCACCACATTTGAGTGATCATTGCAAAACGTGTTTATAAAATATATTTATTCTGTTTATACTGTGTAAAGTACCCATCAAAAGTTTGTACACACCAATAGGAAAGTGTCCAAACTTTTGACTGCATGGTATACTGTACTATAATACACATAAATAATATTGCTACTGTATTATAATATACACATAAACAATATCGGCCGATATATCGGTATCGGACTTTTTTTTACTCCCTAATATCGGTATCGGCCCCGAAAAATCCATATCGGTAGTTTGTTCAGGTTTGTTTGATTTACAGTTTGGACATTGAGGGCCAGAGTAGAGGATAGGGACTCTCACATCCAATTGAACTGTGCTTATCAAAATTTGAATATCTGATCAAACACCTGTGCATTACTTCATCGTCTCTTTCATATTTCAGGGTATGACTTTCCGGCAGTTATCCGCTGGTTTGCAGAGCACGTTGACCGCATCATCCTCTTGTGTGATGCACACAAACTAGAGATCTCTGATGAGTTCTCACGCACTATAATGGCATTGCGAGGCAATGAGGACAAGCTCAGAGTGGTGCTCAACAAGGCCGACATGGTGGACTCCCAGGAGCTGATGCGAGTCTACGGCGCCCTCATGTGGTCCCTCGGGAAGGTGTTCTGCACTCCAGAGGTTCTGAGAGTCTACATCGGCTCCTTCTGGTCCTCTCCAATGCGTATGACAGACAATCGGAAACTGTTTGAGCAAGAGGAGGAAGACCTTTTTGCAGACATTCGGAATCTGCCACGAAATTCTGCACTGAGGAAACTCAATGATCTGGTGAAACGAGCACGGCTTGCGAGGGTGAGGACCTTTGTGCTTTTCACGACTAATTTGGTTCCATAAAATATCAATTGAACTTCAGTAACTTTTAATCCAAGTCTGTTAGCTTTGAGGTCATCTATGTTAGAGGATTGAGAAGTTGACAAAATTGTCATTGAGCAGATACACAGGCTTATGCATTTAAGTCTTTCTCTTCTAAGAAAAAGGTTAAAAAACATTTGTTTTACATCAACATACAACCTATTTTGACTTGCTGTGATGTAAACCCTTTCTTAATAGGACAGACCTTTCAACATGTAGCATCTGAACTTCCTGTTTTATTTGGAAATACAGCAACACTGGGGTGGGGCGGGGTGGGGGTGGGGGGACTAGTGGTGCAAAGGTGCAGTATGTGATTTTTAGCGACATCTAGTGGTGAGGTTGCGAATTGCAACCAACAAATGTTACTGGTGGCCAACAGGAAAAAAAATTGTCGTCCGAGACAGCGGAGAGTAGCCAGTTAAGCAGTGAGGTTTCTTTACAAAGATAAATTAAGAAATTAGGTTTACTTTATTATTCAGTAAAACGATATGTTAATGTGAATATTATTGTTACTTGTTCATCATTGTGTCAGTGTTTTATTCGCTGACTTTAGCTAGCTTTCTTGCACAAAGAACAACATAGTAACGACAAGCGTTTGTCCGTTTAGGGCTACTCAACTGAACTTTATTTATATAGCACCACTAAAAACAACCATTGTTGACCAAGGTGCTGTACACTATATCAGATATCATCAGCATTTAACACCATGTACAACATCAATTACAGAACAGAACACAGAACAGACCAGACACAGCACAAATCAGCTACAATTATAAGCCAAAGAAAAAAGATGCAGTGTAGAGGCAGTTCTAATAAAAACAGGTAGGCTGTTCCAAAGTTTTGGTGCCGCAACGGCAAAAGCTCGATCTCCTCTCGTTTTCAATCTAGCCCGAGGAACATTTAACAGTCTCTGGTTGGATGACCTAAGAGACCTTCCAGGATCGTGAATGGATAATAAATCAGAGATGTATACAGGAGCCAATCCATTCAAAGGTTTAAAAACCAGCATCAAGACTTTAAAATCAATTCTGTAATGGTTAGGGAGCCATTGCAGAGATTTCAGAACTGGAGTAATGTGCTCTCGTTTACGCACACCAGTAAGGAGCCTAGCAGCTGCATTCTGTACCATCTGCAGACGGTGATGCTTGGTTAATGCCCAAATAAAGGGAATTACAATAGTCAAGCCTTGTTGAAATAAGCATGAATCACCCTTTCAAAGTCCTTAAAAGAAAAAAATGATTTGACTTTAGCTTGGACTCTGAGATGAAAAAAAACTGGTTTTGACTACCATACTAATCTGTTTGTCAAATTTGAAAGCACTATTGAAAGACACGCCCAAATTCTTCACTAATGGTTTCACACATGGAGACAAAAGGCCAAAATTTAAGCAAACTGTAGAAACATGTCGGTACATTTCAATGTAAGGGGACCCGCGGAGTATGTAGATAGAAATGGCTCATTCTAAGGTAATAAAAACATTACGGTTCATTAAGTAAGGTCTTAATACACCACTGAAAACATATAGTTATGTATATGATATTGCATTTCTGTCAACAGATCCTTCTAAATATTACACAATGCACCTTTAAGTGATTGTGTCTCTTCAGAATATCTAGATTAAACCGCTCAATTTATGGATTGTTTTTACAATGTCTTTTTTGAAGCACACTGTAAACCCGAATAAGTTGGCACAACTCAAAAAATGTATAATATTAATACATTTTTTATAATATAATATTTTTATTTTGTATTTGTACATTTGAATTGTTCTTAACTTGAAATGTTTGAGTACACTAATTCATACATTTAACTTAAAATTTCATGTAATCTCAATGTGAACACTTTTATTAGTATAAACTTAGCTAGCTTTAACAAGCTAGTTTGCTAACATACTATTTTGTTAACATCTTAACAATAGTATGCTATGCAGTAACACTTGCAGCAATATAAAGGTTTTATTTGCTCTCAAATCAAGCTCATGCACCACTTGTCACCATGATGGTAACTATCCTAAAACCAACATTAACAGAAATTCTTCTAAATTAGCATAACAAAACATTAATCATTACTAAATCACCCGCTTAACATTAATCTTGAACAAAAAAATATTGTATTACACTTAATTTTAGCATTTACTCTCCCTTTCGAGTGCTATCGGCAAAGCATGCTGGGAAATATACATCTCAGCCGTTTCAGTTAAACTTAAGTTCGTCTAAATTAAAAGAAATAATTTCATAAAACTCAAAACAATGAAACAGTTCAGTTTACTTAAAATATATCCATTCTGTGAACTTGAAAGAAAAAGAAAGTGCTAAATACTCATAAAAGTTAATTTGACTGAACTAATTAGTTTAAGTTTTTCCTACTCAAACCAATTAAGTATTTTGAGCGTTAGGGTTTACAGTGCATCAAAGTGTTGGTGAAATGCGTTTTCAATGGAGGGACAGAAATCTCTCTGGGTTTGGAACGTGAGGGAGTATTTGATGACAGAATTATACATTTTGGATAAACTATCCATGTTATTATGCTGCATCTCTACTACATAATATGTGACACACCGCTGCTTTTGCTGAGATTGTGGGAGCGATTGTTTTGAAAGAGATGAGAAAACGTGGAATTTGTGAAAGGTGTCTTTTTGAGAGAACAAAACACAATTTTTGACTAATTATTTAGTTGCTGTGATTGAAATACACCTACCTGCTTGTTTTGTTGCGGTCAGTTGATGTAGTCCTACTAAAACATGAATGTGGCTTCTCTATCCTTTCTTCACCCACAGGCCCATGCTTACATCATTGGCTCTCTAAAAGAAGAGATGCCTTTCGTTTTCTGCAGAGGAAAAAAGAAGAGAGATCTAATCTATGATCTTCCTGTCATCTACTCAAGAATCCAACAGAGGCATCAGATTCCACGTGGAGATTTTCCAGATTGCGCCAAGATGCAGGTGTATAACAGTTCAAATACTTTATAATCAAGCATGCCCATTATGAAATGTATTTTCTGCTGCTTCTATAAGCATAAGAATTAAAAGTAAGTTACACTACAGTATATGATATCTGTCTGACAAGCGGTTTCACTCTCACATCATCACACAGGAGCAACTCATGAGTCACGACTTCAAGTTTAAAGGCCTCAAGCCGAAGCTCTTAGGTGGGTTGGATGAGCTCCTAAACACTGACATTGCCAAGCTGATGCCTCTTCTACGCCAAGAAGAAAAGGCAGCTGACCAGCTTTTAATGCAAGGAGGACCTTTTCTAGGGCCTCACATGGGCCCTTTTATTGTGGGGAACCCATTTCATCACTCTGGATCCAATGGAGAAAGTGCTCTTGTGTCAGATGAAGAATGGGTGGTATCAAAAGATAAACAAGAGTACGATGAGATCTTTTACAACCTCTCGCCTCATGAGGGCAAGCTGAGTGGGACTAAAGTGAAGAACTGGATGATGAGCACTCGTCTGCCCAGCTCAGTTCTGGGACGAATCTGGAAACTGGCAGATGTGGACTGTGATGGCATGTTAGACGACGAGGAGTTTGCTTTGGCCGGCCATCTCATTGAGGGCTTAGAGGGCTTTGGTCTCCCTCATGAGCTACCTGCACATCTAGTGCCGCCCTCCAAAAGACCACGCAAGATCTCTGCCACAGAGAATAGAGACAATGAATAGTCTGCAGGTCTTTATAAGCACCTATTAAGGGAGTTATTCTCTATATCAGTTTCTGAACTCCCTGAAACGCCTCGATTGTAGTCTTTGAGTTTTTTCTGGGAATGAAAATGTCATAATATTCATCATTTAAATAATTCCCGTCCAAGGCTTATGCAAAATAAAAAACTGGTCCAGCTGACCAATGAGATTGCATTTCAGAAAGAGGGGCTTCATGGAGACAGGAACTAAACAGACTTGCAGCAACAATGTCAAATATATCAAAAAATGTGTTTTTTGAACATTCAAGCATGAAAACCTATTATAGTAGAACAAAATCAAGATTTTGTAAAAGGGCATATTATGATGATAGGGTTTATTCAACATGCAAGTCATTAATACTAATGTATTCACTCAAATAATGCCTAAAACCACTAATAGTTTGCAACGGTTGGATGAATAAATCCTCCATATAATCTCAGTTAAGACGAGTTGTTTTGATGGTTCAGATTGCCCAAGGGTTGGGAACAGCTTGTTGTCCTCTTGGCTGGTTGCAGAAACGCCCTCGAGACTGTTGCTGAGGAACATGTCAAAACTCAAGTGTTGAAGTGTTGTAGAGCCTGAAGTGCCTTATTACATTTCAAATTATAGTTGTCAAGTAACATTTATTTTAAAAACAACAACAACAACAACAACTGTTGGTCAATAAGTAACTCCAGCAATCTTGCTATCTTTTTGAGTGTTTGATTGAACTATGAGTTGTTTTTATTTTATGATTTTGTGCATATTGTGGAATATTATTAAGAAGCTGTATAAAAAGGCTGGATATTATTTTATAGAATAATGACCATTGTCATGATGTACAACTAAGCACCTGTTCAGGAAACCTACTATATCATATCAATATGTCCATTTATTGCACAATAAATTGTCAAGCCCAATTGCATACAGCCACTATGCTAAGACTGTCTTAAGAACCAGTCTGACCAACTAGCAGTAGGTCAATGAGTAGAAAAGTTATGACCAGTCCTCCTAAGAAAAAAATACAACTAAGCGATATTTTTAATTCATTATGAAAACCCCTATGTAAGTAAACTTTAGGAGTTCATAGCAGTGGCTGTTTATAATAAACTTTAGCTCTCAAACGTTGTCCTGTGCACTCGTGAATCTCTGCTTGCTCTTTCTCTAGAATTGTCTTCTTTGGTGTTTCCTGAAGCTTTCGACCACCAGACTTTAACGTTTGACTGATGAAAGAAGAACACATACCTTTAAATGGTAAAGAAATGACGGATTCACCTTTGTTTCATCATGAGATAGCATTTTCAAGCTGATTTTAGCCAGCAAGTTCTCTAATTATTTTATTATTTAATAGTTATTTTCCAGTTTGGTCTAAGTGCTTATTGTAAATATTGAATTTTATTCAGTGAACTGATCATCAGACTATCGGCAGCAGGACCCGAGACACGAGTTAACTTTTGTGTAATTCATTCATCAAGCGCACCATCGAGTGGAAAAAATGACAGTAGCCTACTCTCCTACTCTTATAGGCTATAAAAATTATAGGCTATAACTACTTGCCGACTGAGTAATGAGAATGTAAAAAAATAAAAATAATAATAAGGGGCGTTCTTTGCGTATGTGTGTATATAGCCTCTGAGAATCTGAGTTGAGTAATGTGTTTTATATTTGGTAGGTATGCACGTGGGGGCCTATGATTGTTCTTTTTGTCGTCGGATACCATCCATATTGAAACGCAATTAAAGTATGCCGAAGATGGTGCGCAAAAGCTAGCTCAGGTGGGTCAAAAAACGCACGAGAAGAAGACATCAGCCATCACAAACATTCGCACAGGATTTGATTTCTCAGAGGACCGCTGTGTTCGCCGAAAACAGTAACTTAACTTAGGTCATTTGCCCTGGGATTTTTTTTACAAAGGTTGTGTGAGAAAATCACTGACATGACTGATTCGGAAGGGATTAAAATTAGTCCAGTCTGAATAAGGCTTAAAGGGCTGCTCCGTGTAGTGAACAGGAACTGTATGAAGTCTCGCGAGTCGCGAGAGGTGTGTGTGCTCTGCTGGTGGTGCATGATGCGTCAGTTGCTCCGCCTCAAGTCTTTCATAACATCCCAGGAAATAGCAGCAAAACAAAATTACAGAACAGAAAGTAATTACATCAGTTGAGTCTCTGCACACACAGCACAACCACCGCTTGATCCAGCCAAGACCCACAGCACCTGGCAGGATGACCGTCAAAGTTCATATCATTTACTGGTAGGTTAAATTGTACTTGGCGATGTATTTTGCTACACTGTTGACGCTCAATCCAGCTTTTCGACAGATGCTTTTCCCTTTTTTTAAGAACCTGACTTATAAACGCGCTAAGTTTAACACGTTCGAAAAAAAGAAATGTTTAACCAATTAAAGCTCGTATGTGTCGGGCAATAAAAATGACAGGAACAGTCAGGGTTGCTGTTGCTTTTTTTTTTTTGCTCTTTGTGTTCTGGTTGCTAAGTCCACCCTTGCGTTTGAATTGCTTGGATTCTTGCAAGGTTAAATATTTCCAATTTACATAATAAACATGTTCGCGAGCCATAACTGGTGGCTTACAAGACTGGAATCAGAAATATTAAATAATGCTTTCACCGATTCTCTCAATCTCAATTTTCACGAAACAGTCGTACGCTAAGTTAACCCTAGTTACCATGCAAATTAAGGTTTGACCAATGAGGTGAATACCATTTAAGTGTAAGTGTGTGTGTGTGTGTTTGTCATCTCCTAGTGGTGGATGAGGGTACAGGCCCAAGGTAGGTTTTATTTATTACTTATGTATTGTGTGTATATCATAATGCAATATAATATTAACGTGTGGAAGAATATTGTGCATCTATACATCTGTCTCTTTTGTTATTCAAATAGTTCACCAAACTCAAGACGTTGCTTGAGGATGAATTCCCAGGCGAACTTGAGATCGTATGTGATTTAAATGATTGCCATTTTTTTATGGTGTAATTCTGAAAATAAAACATGATGCTTTATTAAATGTGGAATCTACAGTACAATTGGTCAAAGTGTTGTTTTCTCATAATTATCTTTCTCATTTTACTATGATTTCTCATGCTCAGACTGGTGTGGGTACACCATCATCCACAGGCTGGTTTGAGGTGGAAGTAAATGGCAAGTTGGTGCACTCAAAGAAGGTAAGAGTTGATCCTCTCTCACTGTTATATATTGCATATGATTTACCACTATATGACTCCTGGCTTCATACTGTTTCTCACTTAAACTGCACTTTAAGTCGGCATGAAACAGATGTTGAAATATCCTTTTCTTCATTATTGTGACAACCCGGACGAGTCAGACATCTTCTTGAACCAGAAAGAATGTAGGGCGGGACTTGATTTTGTCCATTGGTAATTGGTTGGATGGTTGTGGTTTTCTATTGGTCGATCTCATGTGAGTGACAGGTTGCCCCGCCCTTGCGCCAGTAAACACTCATCAGAGAAGAGATGAAGCTGCAATAGGGAGGGGAAGATATTTTAATTAAAGATTACAAGGGCACATGAATTGAAAAAAAAAATGATGTGCACAAATAATAAATACTGCAATATTCCATAAAAAGAGAATTGTCCATTTTTATTTCATGGTGACATTAAATTGTACAGTTACATGTCTTCCTAATTACTGCACAATCTTTCTTTTTGATTGAATTGTTTGCTACTCAAATCTAAAATGGTAAAGTACAGTTGTAATATTTTATATTTGTCTGATATTTTCTTTGACAGAATGGAGATGGGTTTGTTGACTCCGATTCTAAACTCAGAACAGTTGTGACTGCCATTGAGGTGGCCATGAAGAAATGAGCATGGCCTGATCGTAGAGGTGAGAATAATCCACCATAGAGCCTTTTTGTATTGGCAAAATGCACGTTAACATCTCATCCTCTTGTCTTTTTATCTTTCTTTTTAATTCTATTTTGTCTTGTATTCTCTCAGCAGCTTTTCTTCTCTGTTTGTTGGACTCCTGGGCAGGGCAACAATGATGGTGACGTCCAAAGTGTTTTTTGCATGGATGTTGCTTGATGCTATCCGCTCTTCCCGGGAGAAGACACTCAGAGCAGGAAACTCTGTGTAAACTGCTTCAGATAAACGCTTTAACGGTTGAAAAAATTAAGGGAAAATAAAAAATGGACAGAACATGTCAAGTTGTGGTTCTTTGGGCCTGTTTTTTTAGTTTTTCTCAATGTGTTTGCCTCTGTAAGAGCGCACGTTTACAACATATTTTGGCATTGTTGAAGATTTTCATGCAATAAAAATGTTAATGGTGGAGTGTTGTCTTTTATTTTTCTACACTTTTTTTTAAATTGGAGTCATTTTACCAAAAAAGGTGGCAGCACAGACATTATCCATACACATTGTAAAGATAAATTCGCAATTAACTATGTCACATAATGTGTTATTTTAGCCAGGCATAATGTGAATGACCCAGAGTCTGTCATAGAAGCGTTTGGAGCATTATCAAAACATAAAATAGAGGGAGATGATGAAACTGTAAAGGGACAATTGATATATTTTACAAACATGCCATTTTAGTTCCATTAAAATATTTTGCTTTTGTGTAATTCACAGTTATATACAGATGAGCCAAAAATAATTTGAACACCTGCGTAATATGGTGTTGGTCCTCTACGTCCTGCCAAAACAGCATCGACCCGCGAGGCGTGGACTCTACAAGACCCCTGAAGTTGTCCTGTGGTGTCTGGCACCAAGACGTTAGCAGAAGATCCTTTAAGTCCTGTAGGTTGCGAGGTGGAGCCGCCGTGGATCGAACTTGTTGGTCCAGCACATCCACAGATCTGGGTGATTTGGAGGCCACTCAGGCCAGGGCAACACATGTTCCTCAAACCATTCCTGAACAATGTGCGCAATGTGCCACTTCCACCAGGGAACACCGTTGTCATGAAGGGGTGTACGGTACTTGCTCTGCAAGAATGTTTAGGTATGTGGCATGTGTCAAAGTTGCGTCCACATGAATGACCGGACCCAGGGTTTCCCATTGGATCAGGTGACTTTCTTCCACTGCTCCAAGGTCCAGTTCTGTCGCTCGTGTGCCCGTTGATGGTGCTTTCGACAGTGGACAGGGGTCATCATGGGTACTCCGATCGGTTGGTCTGCGGCTACGCAGCCCCATACGCAGCAGAGTGCGATGCACTGTATGTTTTGACATTCCTCCCATAACAATCATTAAAAAAAAATTATGATTTGTGCCCCAGTAGACCTTCCGTTGGCTCGAACCAGATGGGATAGCCTTTGTTGCCCTCGTGCATCGATGAGTCTTGGTCACCCAACACCCAGTCGCTGGTTTGTGGTTTGTCCCTCCTCGTCCTCGGACCACAGTTGGTAAATTCTCACCACTACTGACTGGGACAACCATCAACACTTGCCGTTTCAGAAGCCCTTTTCACACAGAGATTCCAGGAAATACATCGATAATTTGTGCCAGGATCGTTTGCTTTTGGTTCATTCCCACTGTCAGTGGTTTTCTGGAATCTGTGTGCAGGTTCACACTCAAAAAGCATTTAAAAAAAAAAGTATAAATCCATGTAGTCTTTCAATTACCGGTAATATGTCATGAAAATAATAATTTAAAGTCCCCCTGTGGTAAAAAAAATAAATCTTTTAATGTTGTTTATATGTAATATGCTTTAAGTTGCTGAGTATTTTCTCCTTAAAACTGCAGTGAACCAAAGACAATCTCAAAAACGTGGATTAAAATCGCTGTTGTTTCCGACGTCACAAACTACCTTAACCAATCACATCAACGTGTGATTGTCAATGATGGATCTTTGAGCTGGTGTGAGTGAGTGGAGGCGGGGCTAATTTGCATATTCACAGAACCGCGTATACTAAATGAGGGAAGGGTGTAGTTACATTCAAGCTATTTTAAGCTATGAATAATTTTTTTCTCAAGGTAAAACGTTTAAATATGTCATTTTGGTGATCAGAGATGAGTATCCAAGTAAAATGACTTCTCGAACAATAACAAAATGTATGGTGGGACTTGATTTTGTCCATCGTGAATTAATTGGTTCATTGAATGGTTGTGGTTTTCTATTGGTGGATCTCCCTGATAGCGTGCGTGTTTATAATAATAATAATAATAATAATAAACTTTATTTTATATAGCGCCTTTAAAAAGTATCTCAAAGCGCTTCACAAGAATAAAAACATAAAACATACAATTAAACAAACTATGCATTTCTGACAGAAAAACGTAATAAAAAAAAAAAAAAAAAAAAAAAAAAAAATCTGGAAGACATTTTTGTACAGTCACAGTGTTTGATCATCTGCAATATGTCTAGGACGTTTTCTGTCAAATGTCAAATAGACGTTTAGAAAATGTCTTTAAGATGTTTTATGATTTAGAATGTATGTAAAAATGACATCTTAATTGATGTCTATCAGATGTTAGAAGTCATAACAGACATCTTGCAGACGTGCTATCTGGGCGTGACCATAGGTGCGTGTTTATTAAATATTATGACGGCACATGAATAAAAAAAAAACATGTATAATAAATTATCCAATATTTTATTAAAAATATAAGAATAGTCAATTTTGATATAATCGCAACTTTATTTGTTTACACTACCATCCCTATATAGGCCTACATACTGTTAAAAGCAGGCAAGGATATAAATACTCCACCAGGAGAAAAGAATCGTGAGAGAAACCAGACTCGGCAAGGCACAATTGCAATAAATCTACATACAATTATGTAGTTGAATAGGCTATAGTATATGTATGCCTCACAGTGCTCAATTTAATATGTCCGAAGACAATTATTGAGTTGCAATGATGTGTGATAATTTGTCCCTCCTACAACAACAGGAGTGATGTCAGAGACACACATGTTGTGAATGTCACCTAGCAAGTCATATCTAATTTTGTGATACAGTATCCTCTCGACGACACAGTGTAGGAATCTTATGTGGCCTGTATGGGAATTAAGTCTTTTGATTTGTCAGGTCTTTTCCCATAATTCCAGCAGAAGCGCTGTGCCGCAGACACTCCGGAAGTGAGGCGTTTATTGACAATATGGCGACCGGGCCAGCTAAGAAGGGACTGGAATTTTTTTGGGTTTGACAGAGAGCGCAGATGTGGATGAGCAACGCGAAAGCTGTGCGCGATAGAGTGTTATGAATGAAGGGACTCAGGAGCTGTCGGGATGTTGTCTCTGAGCTGAGCGAGTGTTCACAGCTTCAGATTCATCATGTCGTTCTTCAGGCGGAAAGGTAAGGAAGTGCTCCGCTCGATGATGATGGACAGTTTGGGCTTTTCTGGACCGATGCTGAGCTCACGTCCTCATGAATGTGACATCAAAACTCTTTTATTCTTTATGTTGGCCATATAATCTCTTTTATGCATATGCATATCTTCTGCACATCGTGTAAAACAGCGATAGAGGGATTGGATGTTCCCTATACGAGTGCACGTTTTAATATTTAGATCATCAAATGAAAACTTGTTAATTATAGTTACATTTTAGTTGAAATAACGCTGATTCCTAAAAAAACCCCGTTGTTTTAGATGTTCGAAGTAACACGCATATGGTCTAACGTTATGTCAGTCGACTGACAGGCTAGCCATGCCTGAAAAAACTCATGTTGGAATATCATAATATGGAATGAAACAAGCATAATTTTATGAATCATATCCTGAATAAACATACATAGAAGCAAAAACTATTTTTTTTATTCTAGTTTGATCCCATTTCAGTTGATTTAAAGTTTTTGTCAAGGAACTTCTTTCATTCACATCTTTGATCTGATGGTATAAAGCTAGATTGTCAAAGGTCAATCGTAAATGTTGTATCTATTGTATTTAGACCAGTAAGTTAGTTCTCAACCTTTATGACTGAAAGGCCTCCTTTTTTTCACAGAAAATATTCGAAGGCCCTACATTCTAAGCTGATAAAAATAAATAACCTCAAAAACCTGTCAGTTTAATGTTGTACATCTATATTTTTTAGTTTTTTGTTAAGCTTCTTAATTAAGATTATGTTGATATATTTAAATTTGCTGAGGCCCCGGCCCCCTGATTGACTATGGGTGTGTTCACACTTGGCATGTTTGGTTAGATTAAAAAACTAACCTGTTTTGTCTCGTCGTAGTCGCAATGTTGCCCATCACAGTTCAGTACAGGCATCAGAACCGCGTCTCCTCGCAACAGATCTTCATTTGTGTGTGACGGAGGGATTCCTGACGCTATTTTGACTCCTTTACTCATTTTATAAGATCTTCATGTTCTCAGCTGGTCAAAATACTATCATATGTAGGCTATGCACATAAACGAGTGCATTTAGCCCAGAACACAGCATTGTTTTGGAGGTTTGGTAAGTTCTGTTGCGAAATAGACATAATAAAAGCCAACCAATCAGATTGTGAACGTATTCATCCCTATGCCTGTAGGTTCGGCAAAATTAAAATGCCAATGTGAACGCTACAATGTTAAAAAGATAAAATTACCTGGACTAAATGTTTTGTTTTGTTTTTGGTCCAGACCAAATGAACCAAGTGAACCAGCCGTTCATCCCTCTGTCCCTACCTTTTTTTTAATCCTCCCTTCTACAGGGTTCCTGTGGTCATGAAAAACCTCAGGGAAGTTTAAAATTTTGATTTCCAGGCCTGGAAATGATTTACAAAAATTTATTAAGACTAGAGTATATATAAAACATTTTTTTTCTCACTTATCTGGAAACACAGCTGGAAACATTAGAATGAATTGGTCAAAATGAGTGGCGATGCTGCTGCTGTCTTTAGTTGTTCATATTAAACCATAAGATTGATCTGCAGTTTTGTATCTTCACTAAATAAAGTGACCGATCTTTCCCAGAACCCCTGTTCGCATGACAAAGAGCATAAACATGTATCCTGTGACAGTCAGAGCCCTAAGGGAAGGAAGGATGCCCTCTTAGCCCATGTCCTATTTACCGTAATAGGAACCTTTTCTCTTTGTTCTCAGTTCTGCAGTCTTGTCATTACACTTTGTTTTCTTTATCCATCAGAGATATGCGAGTTAATATATGTTATGAGCTCAGCAGAGAATTCATGAGAAACATGCTGCTCATTGTAAAGAGAAATATCATCCTCACTCTTTGCTTGCACTCCTGCCAACAATGATCGGGATGTTGGATATGCTTGTCGTTTTGTGCTCCATGATGCTAGTCTGTTTGTTTGCTCCAGCAAGGCCTCACCCCATGCAAATAATCCAGAAAACATGCAGTGGAAAAACTCAAGAATAAGTGATGTGTGGATTTGTGCAACAGCCTTTTTTGCTTCAAATAATGGGTGTCTGTGACTGGTTCCCAAACGGCTGCTGTGCTGGATAATCATTAGGACAAGAAGAGATGCCATAAATTATAAATGATATTTCCTGTGTTCTTTATCTTACAGCTAAAGGAAAGGAACCTGAGAGACCAGCAGATGCCAAAGCCAGCAAATGTGAGGGTGATAGTCCTTTTTTCTTTATAGTAACTTTTGTGATGTTGTGGTGGGCTGTCATAGAACATGCTAGAATGTAGAACAATAGACCAGGTTAATTTGTATCAAGTTATACCGGTAGTTTCAGTTGCTTGGCATGTGACCCAGACTGGAAATATAGTGTCAAAAAAAATGTGAGGGACTAAAGGTCAGTTCACAGTTCACACCAAGAACGATAACTATAATAATAACTAGGTTATATTAGCATCCGCACTAACGGATGATATTATTCTGTTTATTCTAAGCACATGCTGCAGTTTTGCAGCTTTAAATGCTTGAGCTCCTTAAAGCAGGATGGACTCTGATTGGCTGTCTTTTTTTAAATCATTCATCAGATGGAAAAAAGTTCAGAAGTGATTCCAATGATATAGTTTCTCGGTGCCATTATTATTATTGTTGTGGTGTGGACTCTGCTATTCTTTTATATTTTGAATGATTTTTATAACTATATCTTTATAGCTAACATCCTTGTGAGCAGGCCTTTTTTCAGGACTTTTTTACATTATGCTTGCAAACTGCTTTTCAACGGAAACTTGTTTTTTTAATTATTTTAATAAAAAAAATACGAAAAGCCAATTGTTACTCTTTCTCACAATTCTGACCTTTTTCTCTCAATTGCGAGTTTATATCTTGTAACTCTGGCTTAAAGGGATACTCCACTTTTTTTGGAAATAGGCTCATTTTACAACTCCCCCAGAGTTAAACTGTTGAGTTTTACCGTTTTTGAATCCATTCAGCCGATCTCCGGTTCTGGCGGTACCACTTTTAGCATAGCTTAGCATACATCATTGAAGTGGACAAGACCATTAGCATTTCTAAAAAAAAAATGACCAAAGAGTTTCGATATTTTTCCTATTTAAAACTTGACTCTTCTGTAGTTACATCGTGCACTAAGACCGACGGAAAATGTAAAGTTGCGATTTTCTAGACTGATATGGCTAGGAACTATACTCTCATTCCTGCGTAATAATCAAGAAACTTCACTGCCGTACCATGAGTGCAGCAGGCGTAATGATATGACGCAGCGCCTGAAAATAGTTCCGTTGTGTTGACGGAAGGTGGCCTATTTTAAAGCCTAACAGTTTAACTCTGGGGGAGTTGTAAAATGAGCCTATTTCCAAAAAAAGTGGAGTATCCCTTTAAAACTCGTAATTGCAAGTTATAAACTTGGAGTTGCGAGAAATAGTCGGAATTGCAAGATATCAACTCGCAATTTTTACTTTTTGAATATATTTAATTGTGAATATATTTCCGAATTCCGACATTATTTCTTATAATTGTAAGATATAAACTCGGAATTGCAAGAAACAAGTCAAAATGTTTTGATAAAATGTGTCTATTTTTTTTCTGAGAATTGTAAGATATAAACTTATAAATGTGAGTCCAAATTGCGTGTTTATATCCTATTTCTATTATATAGAAAAAAGTGTGAGATACAAACTTGCAATTCTATTCCTCCCAATTCAGAGTTTAGCCTATATGACATACCGTTCTAAAAACATGAGACTCATGTTAAAAGTTCACCTTTAAAAAAAATCATCCATCTGGAGACCTTGACGTGTTTTTTTTCTTCTTTTCTTTTTCTATCATAAAACGTATTCTGTGTGAATTGCCCCTAAAACTTATTATTTTTTTTTATTTTTTTTTAGCAGTCTGCTAAGTGTGATATAGAACAATATTATGGCTAGTCATTGGACGCTCAACAAGAAACAAATAGGGAAAGTGACCAGGGTTGGTGTAACAATTTGTAGAGTTTATTTGGAAAAATGAACAATCTGTCCTAAACAATCACATTCTCAACATGCTGCACATAAATGTAAATAATTCTGCTAACTCTGTTTGATTCAAATTATAGATTTTTTTAATAACAGCTTTATGCGCTCTAGAATGTTTACTTACAAAAATCTATACCATTTCTAGGGTTGTAACACTCAAAAGCTTTGCAGGTTTTATAGTCTTAAATGAATAACTAACCAGGGGAGGACATGTAGAGGTTTATCAGCATGTGGTAAGCATTTCTTACCAAGATAAGCAGTGCAGGATTGTAGATTGGAACTGGAGTGAAATGTAGAATTCTGTTGTGTTTGAGTGTTCCTTCTCTGTGTGCTTGTCTCCAGCCCCAGTGTCGCCCCACTCCCCCTCCCTCAGTGGGCGTAACCATCATGCTATCCTGGAGGCGGCGGGACCCAGCCATGTGGCCATCAATGCTATCTCAGCCAACATGGACTCGTTTGCTCGTGGCCGCACTGCTATCCTCAAAAAACAGCCTAGCCACATGGAGGCAGTACACTTCGGAGACTTAGGTACACCTGCCATGAATTATACATGCCATTCAATACTGATTCAAAATGAAATCCTGATTCTGTGTCCAGAATTTTTAAAAATATTATATTTATTGTAGTATTTTCAGTTTTACTGACAAATTAACAGTATAATCACAGGACAGGACCAAACACAACTACACGCACACAAAAACCCCCCCCAAAAAAACAACAACAACAAAAAAACTCCTTCGGTTAGATTCAAGTTTGCAGTTACCGGTAACCACAACACGAGGTCAAAACAGATTTTTGCCCAACGTGACATTATGGACAAGGTGAAATTTTACAAATGGACCAAATGAGATGTATAAAATATGTAAAAAAAAAAATTAATTTTAAAAATAATAATAAAAGTTTTGAAGTTATCGTAAAATCCTAAGCATAAAACTGTCAGGACAACAAAAGACACTTGTGCTGAGCATTTTAAATGAAATCTGGTGTTTATCAGCGGCCGAGGGAGCAGGAATTCTCACATTAGTTGGAGGATTTAGTGAAGCTTTCTGGAGTGTTAGAAATGGCTTTTGCAGCGCACTGGCCGAATGGATTTAATGTGTAGTGCCGTAATCTCTTAACCTTTTTATAGCTCTGTGATTGGTGGAAACCTGTTCAGACAAACTCCTCCACTTTAAACGTGAATATGTCCGTGTCTGTTTATCTGTTTCTCCTCCAAGTGCTTCTTTTCACAATAGACCTGTCACAACTATTATATAACCACCTAGTTAATACGATTATTATACCTCATCATTATTTTTGCTCTGTTTTCCAGGAAGAGAACCTGTAAATATTAAATGCATATATTTGCTAATAGTTTTTTTTTTAATCCACGTTTACTGCACCGGAATTAATATTTTGGTCCGAAACCGAAAATTCAAGATGCACTTGGCCGAAAACCGAAACCAAAAGTGACTTTAAAATTTATTTTAAAAAATATATATTTTTTTTGTTTAATTGTATTAATATTACACTTTCTAATTATTTTCATTCATTTTCAAAATTCGTGAAAGTGATTTTTTTTTGGAAAATGAAATTAAGTTTATTTTAAAAATCAATTAAATTAATCAAATGTATTTATTAACACTTAAATAAACTGAGTTTAGCAAAAAATGTCATTGAACATAAGGCTGTTTTTATATCAACGTTTAAATAATAGAAGTCAAAATTTAAAAGATCACTAATGAAAGTGAAGCTGTGAAGGATGAATTTTCCTTTGTTGATTATTCAGGCAAAAATGCAAAAAAAGCCATGGTCATCTCAAAGCATGGACAAAAACAATTGTTGTAAAAACTTATTGTAGCAACATTTTTAATTTTACAGATTGAACTTAAGTTTACAGTAACAAACCATATATTTAATTAACGGAAGTAATGTTAATATACCAAATGACTTAATTCTGTTTTGTACCTTTACAATATACTGACAACCAATGTTCCCTCTAAGCTGCGCGCGTGCGCGGCCGCGCACTTCTGATGCCTCGGCCGCGCACTTTTAAGCGGCGGCCGCGCAGAAAAGAATAAAATGACACACAGAGGACTGACGCGAAACGTGTGGGGAAATCCATTTGATTGTAGTTTAAGTGAGAAATAATTGCAGTGCTCTGGTCAACCGCTATAGAGAGAAAATTGGTGAATGCAGTTTACAGGTTTCATAGAAAGAGAATGATGTGAGCACGTGTGATTGGCAGTGAGTCGTGTGTGCGGACCAAATAGCTCGATACGAGAGGCAACGAGAAACGCATAGACATGTGAAATAAAATAAAATCATAATGTTTTAAAGAAGAGTGGTTTGATTAAAGTGGTGGAAATAACGGTTATGGACACAGAACAGTAACAATTACACGCCCACCCGCGTGCAAATTCATAGTTTAAATAGATGTTTTTGTCTGTGGGGGAGTTTCAGGGATGGTTAGATTATAAAAGATTAGATTATATTCATTTTTCTTGAAAATATTTAGCTATTAGATCTATTTAAATGCTTTGTTTTCATAATAATATAATATGTTAACAAATTTAAGCATTTAAACTGATATATTATATCACTTCAAATACTTCAATTCGTTTTTTTTAAATATTATATTATGCCTATATTTTATTATATTATAAGCCTAAATAAAGAATCTCACAAGGGTATTGTTTAGGGCTCCTTGCCATTAAAAAGTTTGAAACCCCCTGCTAAAGAAAATATTGGAAATTCATAAGCAATAAACAATCATTTAACTTTTGATGGTTTAATGCTTCCTGTACACAATTAATTGACTGTCAAAAACACTTTATGGTTTTCCCAAACCATCTCGGTGTAACAGCTTACTTTTCTTCCATACTATATTCTATTATTGTAAAGAATTGAACTGTCCTGCAGAAGGTTTTGTAAATTATTTTTCATAGGATTTCTTGGTAAAGACTGTACAGTTAACAGCACTGTAAAAAAATATCAGGTAACCTAAAATGTCCTTCATTTAGTGACTACTTAATTTGTTAAGAAGCTTGTTTTTCGAAAATATGATTTAATACCAATAAGTTACATCATGGGTCAAATAAAATAGAAATGGCACATTCAAGTTAAAAGTTACAACTGAATGTTGAAACCATTGTGTTTCTACATGCTGTACAGGTCAGGTATAAAGAATATTTTTGCTCAGGTGGCGAAAAATATCCGCCCAATAGAAAAAAGTTTTGCTCAGCAAGAAAAAAAATTAGAGGGAACATTGCTGACAACCACCTTAATCACAGGTCACAGGTGGTTATGAGAAAAACAAATGATTAAATCAAACTTCATCATAAGTAGCTTTTCAACAAGCTGAGGTAAATGGTAATATTTAGAAGGTGCGCACAGTGTCATACACACACAAATACAAAACCCATCATGGTATTAACACAAGACACTAAAATAATGCAATAAACATTAATTTAACCACATAAGATGTTACCCTAATGTACATAACTGACAAGAAAAAACTAAGCAGAAACAGTTATTTAAATGAAATCCATAAAATGTTAAGGGTTACACTTATTTTTTTTTTACTGTAATTTATAAGATGACTTATTATGAGATGTTCTTTTTCACTTCCAAAAACTGTACATGGATCAGTATTTTACTGTAAAATGTCCCATTAGACATTAGATCAGGTTTTTACCGTAGCATTTTTACAGTCTTTGGTTAACAAACCAGTTTTGCAAGGTGACTTGGTAAAGACGATGCTTTTAACGTCAAATCTTAACGTGTTGTCTCCACACAAAGAGGGTTGGGATTTTTCCGGCTCAAGTACCCTTCTTCATTGCGTTCTGATACTGGAATCATTTTGTAGAGTTCACATCTCAACCATCTTCTGGTGTCCCGTGGTGTTGAAACCGGAAGGTGTGGCCTTTCAAAGCATTCAAAGGAGGTCACTGCTCTATTATAAGATTTGTTTTGTGTATGTGTTTATTTATGGAACAAAGTCTTTGCCGCTGCTGTATAAGAAGTAATAGATGGCTGGGTGTGATCTGGAGATCCCATGGGTTTGAGTTGGAGGCATTAAAGGTGCTCTGCTAGTCAGGTGTTTGCTGTAGGCATCATTACTGTTGTTCATACTTTAGGGTTTTTGAACAAACATCTAATACTAAGTGTTTTTTCCAATATTGTACATTCCTACTATCAACGCAGTGCCCTGGGATCCTATTGGGTACTTTTGGACAGGCAATCATTGCTTCATTTGATTATTATTATTATTTTATTTGTTTGTTAAGTCAAGTTTTTATTGCTATATGTTTTATTTGTTTTTGTTATTGTTTATTGGTGTTTTGTTTATTCCTTATTTTGGGTTTTGTTTTGTTTTAGTGTAAAATCCAAACGGCTTGATTATTGAAAGTGTTTAGGCTTTTTAAAGATTAAAAAAAAGGAGTGAATGGATTTTTTTCATTGTATGGTGATTGTGTCCACACACTGCAAAGACACATTTATATGCAAACACCATATAAAAGTGAATTTTGCATCTGATGACCCCTTTAATGAAATTTATTTTAGTATAAAATGAAATTTTTACCTACTAGTAGGGGTGTAACGATACACAAACCTGACGGTTCGGTTCGTCCCACGGTTTTGAGGTCTCGGTTCGGTTCATTTCGGTGGGGTGGGGGGGTTTAGAAAGCTAAAATTGCTTTTATTTTTTATTAAACAGTGCTTTAATGAACAAATTGTGTCCTTGTCTTTAAATTAATTCCATTACAAGTAAACGTTTCTCAAGGATAACAAAATTATCTGCTAATGCTGTAAACTACAGCCCTTACTTGCACATTACTATAACATTAAAGCTTAACAACAGAGCCTAGACTTTTAGCCTAAATGATATAATAATAATCAACATTCAAATAACAAATTGTATGAAAACATGTAAACTGCACATAAGGCAATTTTTGCATTAAAAAGTTTTTACTCTAATTTGTTAATGTTTTATAATAATTTACACAGTTGCTGTTATTTTCATGACAACTATTTTAAACATACATTAAATAATCAAGATATCATAAACAGGTTAAGTAAAATATAATATATAGGCTAATATATAGCATTTATTTAGTGAAAGAGTTAGCAAACCAGCAAGCTGTGGACACTGAATGACTTGCCTGAGGTAAATATAAAGCTATGTGAAAAACTAAGTGTTTTATTGACGTATTTCCGCTGTTGAAACACTGATTGAGTGTTTACACGAGTTATGATGCCTTTCAGTAAGTATACTGTATCTTTCAACATACCTTCGGGTGTCCATTCATGTTTATTCTGTAACTGAGGAAGAGATGATCGCGCTCCGCGCTGCCGCATGCATACAGTGATATCTGTCACGCCACATCTAAGAGCGCCAAAACGGCATTTATTGTTTGCATTTCGTGATCAAATAGACATAATTTGAAAGATTACACCTTGCTTATTATCAAAAGTAACAAAACACTGAGCTTATTGCGATTATTTGTGGTTAATGGTGGTTAGGCAACAGCCCTGTATTCGTTGTGTACACATAACACATGAGGTGCAATGAGCCGGTACTGGGCGGGGCAGCAGGGGGCGGGGCGTGTTCGGTTCGCCATGAGAGTATCGCGATACGTATCGTGGGTGGTGAATCGCGGTTTTTCGGTTCGGTTCAAATATCGTTACACCCCTACCTACTAGCCTGTTGCTTAGTTTGATATATTCAGCAGACTGAAAAAGTTTTGTAGAGTAAATAGGCTACATTGTATCACTCGAACGTGGGCAAATTGAGTGCCAGTCACAAAGCCAGTCACAATTAACAAAGCTTATTGGTGATTTAAAATGTTATCGTCCAACGTGATGGCAACTAATGGAATTCAATAATTGTCTCGCAAAATGACGACATCTGTCCTGCAACAGAGCAAAAACCAGGTGGTCACCCTACTTACGACCCAAGTCCTTCACATAGAAATCAGTCTACAGGCTTTCATAGACAACCTAGGAAGCCTGGGAAGATCTCCTTTTTCAAGTTTCCTTACAAGCTGTTCACACATTGGCAATAAAAAAAGCATTAATACATGAAAATTCTTACATATAGCCCCTTTAAGTATGTTATCTCTCTCGACTTAAGAAACATGGTTTGTAGCACTGGGGTTTAAAAAGGGTTTTTGCTTTTCAGGTCGTTCCAGTGTCAATTACCACCTTCAAGAGACTCGCTCTCGGCTTTCTAAAACCGTAGACCAGATCCTGCGAGACAATGTGGCCATGCCCTACTTCATACAGTTTATGGAGACTCGCTCAGCTGATCACCTGGTCCGGTTCTGGCTTGAGGCTGAGAGCTTTCGGTCCACTAGCTGGTCGAGGGTCAGAGCACACAGCCTCAACTCAGTCAAACACAGCACCTTGGCTGAGCCGGCGACTGCTCTGGGATCTCCCGACTCCCCAGAATCCCCAGAAGAGCCCAGCAGGCCCTCAGCTCTGGACGAGGGAGATGAAGAGGACCCCTTCTCCTCCCGGACATCCTCCAGACCTCACACCCCCAGCCCTCAGGACACTAACTCTTATACCGGGGCTCTAATAGGCCACCGGAACTCTGTTAGCTCAGAGGGGGCGGCCCGGCCTGGGACACCCCACCTGCAGCCCACCGTAAGATCAGAAACGCCCACCAGACAGCCCTCCTCCAGGACAGGCACTCCAGTTAAAGGCCAGTCTGCTGGTGGCCTCCGTGAGCTCTCTGAGAAACTTATGAAAAGTGAGTACCAATGATGGTTTTCGCTGTTTGTTTTGACATTATTCCTGCACTGAATCCCTCCAGCTATGGACGATAACTATTAGGGGTGGAACGGATCGTAGTCGATCTGTAATCTGTACGGACCAGGTTCGCCACGCATGTGATTTGCGGATTAACTGCTAAATTGCGTGTTTAGTCTTGCCAATGTACACATTAAAAAAATTGGCGGGCGGGCGTTTCAGATAACGCTCGAAAACCAAATTGATTCTCTTTCGCGTTTCCTTGCCCTTGAACGGACACATAAACACAAAATCATGTCTAAATACCCGTCTCGGTAAGTATTCTCTCGGTTATGTCATAAGTGAACCGGTCCGTGCATTCGGTCTTAAAGTGGCAGCACACACCTAATATTCCTACTGTTGTCTGAGTCATTAATGTTAATAAAACAACAAAGTATAGCTTTAAGAAAGATGAAACTATATTTAATTTCTCCAGTGAACAAAGTGTAATTTTACATTTAGGCTTAATTATTAATTTCTGTACCGGAATACAACTGTTAGACTTTGTAACTTAATTTTATTTTCATCTCTGCTTGTAATTTGTGTATTTGTTCTTATTTTATTACCGACAGTTTACATGTTTTTAATAATGTTTAAACTTTATCAGTTAGGCTAGTAGTTTTTGATGTAGTATCGAAGAACTTCAAGTGAGCTTTAAGTAATAAATGAAAAGCAAAGTTACCCCCTCCCCCCCATATATATATATATATATGTATATATATATATATATATATATACACACACACACACTCACTTTAAAAAAAAAAAAAATATCCGAAAAAGGATCCGATCTGTGGCTTAAAACCCGTAAACGATCCGAACCGAGAATTTTTGTGATCCGTTCCACCACTAATAACTATAAAGATAAAGAAAAATCTAGAAAAGTTCTAAAAATCTTTTCTAAATATAAAATAATAGCAGAGTCCACACCACAACTGTAATGATAACTATATCATTGGAATCACTTTCAGAACAAATTTTTCCCAGCTAATGCCAAACTGCAGCATGTGGTTAGAATAAACAGAGCAATACTGTGCATTGGTGTGGACGCCTAATATAGTTATAGTTATCATTATAGTTATCGGTCTTGGTGTGAATGGGCCTTAAGAGAACATTCTGAGTTAAATCCTGCTCAAGTAACATGTTCTATGGTATGCTATTGATTTCCACATACAATAATTGACCCTTCCCTCAATTAAAAAAGAAAACGTGTTTTGCAAATTTGCAATGTAAAGCAGTAATTAGAAGCTTGTGTTTTGTTAAAGCACTTTTAAATGTTTATTATTGGAGATGAAAATTGTCCTTTAGGTGGAGCTACTTTATTACATAGAAGAACCTCTGGATATTTGTTATTATCATAATTCCTTTCCTGGTAGTTATGTCACATCCTGACATGGACACAAAAGCAAAACTTAGTGTGAAACTAGTTAAAAGATAAAACTCTGCCCAAGCAAGTAGATTTTTATCACACTAATTTCATGTTAACACATGTGATGCTTAACGTAAATGTTATTGTTATGCTTTAGAAACAGTACAGGCATGCCTGATATATCAGTACCACATTTGTTAATTTAGTCAATTAAAAAAAACAAATTTTTTTTTTTAAAACTGCAGGGTTTGCAGTATTCATCAGTAATTATGCAAAACCTGCACCCTAATCTTCAGTTTAAACAGAGCATTCCAGAGCATGTGCTTAACTACAATGAGTTTTCATGGTTAGTAGCTTTTTACCATTACAACATATTCCTTTAGTATATCAGACGATGACTTTTAATCTCCATGCGGCATTGGTTTTATTGACCAAGCTTGGTAAATGATCCCATTTAGCATCTTGGCAGTGGACTACAATGAACAGAAGTCAGGAGCTGAGTATTCATTTATGGCTAATACAAAGAATGTCCAAGCTAAAAGCGGTGAATGGAAAAAGTCAGTTGAGCCGAAAGCCATCAAATCAGCTTTAGAAGGGGAGTCAGATCCTATCAGCCCGTAGCTTCTGCACCGAGAGTATTCAGTGTCTTAAAAGGGAACACGTCTTTGTCCACCTCATTGCATTTTATAAGGCTGGATCTGGATTTTCTGAACGGCTCATATGGATTTTATGAAAAGAGCTTCAACATTTAAACATGCTCTGATGAGATTCCTTCTCAGACAGACACCCATTAAACCCAAACACTTTCAACATAGCCTTTAAACACAGTCTTACTTCTCCATGGCTGATCGGCAACCATAAATCTTAATATGTATGTGTGTGTGTGTGTGTATATGTGTATATGTAAACTTGTATGTGTGTGTATATATGCACAATGGTGCAATTCAAACTTCTATGAACATATACTTCTGTGAAAGATTTAGTTTTCTGGTGTCTCTAACAAACACGGTCTTCAGTATGAAATATGCACATCCTGTATTTGAGTTTGATATTAATGTTTAACAAGGTGTAGACGTACGATTTTTCCCTAGGCCTTTGCTCTAACTGCACTAGACATTTGTTTGATTAATAGTGACACTTAAGCGCACATGAGGCTTTGATAAATAGCCATGGTTGAAATGTGAATTATTACAGTTCTGTGTAGAGGGATGTTGAATATAATAAAGGTGGATTGATTCTGATATGTCTTTCATCCTTTCCTTTCTATCCATTTCCAATTTCCGCATATTTTTTTGTTTGTAGGTATAGAAAGGGATGCTGTTAACATTTTCACCAAGTACATATCTCCAGATGCTGCTAGGCCTATTCCCATCACCGAACAGATACGCAACGACATTGTGGGTAAGAGAATTCCTTATCACAAATGACCTCTGTGTTTAATGACTGCTTAAGAAGTACTCAAATGTTGTTTTCTGTGTTTGAACAAAAATATATATATTTAAAAGAGATACTGTGTGATTAGTAAATGAGCGCCTGGTTTTATGGATTCGTCCTCTGGATGCTTGTCGTTACATACCTTATTTTAATTTAAGGGCATTTTTATGTTGCATATCCTCAGAATGACTGTCTCTGATTAGCTGGAATGGGCTTAAACATTTTTAATAAGTTGGGATGTTGGGATAGTGTAGATCTAACTTTTTTTTAAAACTTTTGCCAGCGAAAATCTGTGGTGAGGACGGACAGGTGGACCCAAACTGCTTTGTCATTGCACAATCTGTTGTTTTCTCCATCATTGACCAACAGTAAGTCATTTTGTTTCCTGTCCTTGACAATTATTGCTCTTGTATCTATAGAAGTGTACATTTATCAGTTTTTATTCTATACATGCTATGTACTCAAGAGGCAGACTGTGTAAGCATGCAGACTGAGGTCTTAGGCCTTTCATGAACATTAAGTATTTTTTAACTCTTTTACCGCCAGCGTTTTTGAAAAAAGTTGCCAACCAGCGCCAGCATTTTTTGATAATTTTCACAAAAGTTTCATGGCCCCCAGAATATTTCGTTGTATGAATATCTGAACATGCAATAAATCTAAAGAAAGAACAGACACTCTGCTAAAAAAAAACACACAAAAAAACACAATCAGTTTTAATATAGCTTCATGGGTCCTGGGTCGAGTTTTCATTCGGTAACATTAGGCAGTTTTGATTTATATGCTGTTTAATGTTGATGATCGCAGTATTTTACACATGCACCTGCTTATACACTCACCTAAAGGATTATTAGGAACACCATACTAATACTGTGTTTGACCCCCTTTCACTTCAGAACTGCCTTAATTCTACGTGGCATTGTTTTAACAAGGTGTTGAAAGCATTCTTTAGAAATGTTGGCCCATATTGATAGGATAGCATCTTGCAGTTGATGGAGATTTGTGGGATGCACATCCAGGACACGAAGCTCCCGTTCCACCACATCCCAAAGATGCTCTATTGGGTTGAGATCTGGTGACTGTGGGGGCCATTTTAGTACAGTGAACTCATTGTCATGTTCAAGAAACCAATTTGAAATGATTCGAGCTTTGTGACATGGTGCATTATCCTGCTGGAAGTAGCCATCAGAGGATGGGTACATGGTGGCCATAAAGGGATGGACATGGTCAGAAACAATGCTCAGGTAGGCCGTGGCATTTAGACGATGCCCAATTGGCACTAAGGGGCCTAAAGTGTGCTAAGAAAACATCCCCCACACCATTACACCACCACCACCAGCCTGCACAGTGGTAACAAGGCATGATGGATCCATGTTCTCATTCTGTTTACGCCAAATTCTGACTCTACCATCTGAATGTCTCAACAGAAATCGAGACTCATCAGACCAGGCAACATTTTTCCAGTCTTCAACTGTCCAATTTTGGTGAGCTCTTGCTAATTGTAGCCTTTTTTCCCTATTTGTAGTGGAGATGAGTGGTACCCGGTGGGGTCTTCTGCTGTTGTAGCCCATCCGCCTCAAGGTTGTGCGTGTTGTGGCTTCACAAATGCTTTGCTGCATACCTCGGTTGTAACGAGTGGTTATTTCAGTCAAAGTTGCTCTTCTATCAGCTTGAATCAGTCGGCCCATTCTCCTCTGACCTCTAGCATCAACAAGGCATTTTCGCCCACAGGACTGCCGCATACTGGATGTTTTTCCCTTTTCACACCATTCTTTGTAAACCCTAGAAATGGTTGTGCGTGAAAATCCCAGTAACTGAGCAGATTGTGAAATACTCAGACCGGCCCGTCTGGCACCAACAACAATGCCACGCTCAAAATTGCTTTTATCACCTTTCTTTCCCATTCTGACATTCAGTTTTGAGTTCAGGAGATTGTCTTGACCAGGACCACACCCCTAAATGCATTGAAGCAACTGCCACGTGATTGGTTGATTGGATAATTGCATTAATGAGAAATTGAACAGGTGTTCCTAATAATCCTTTAGGTGAGTGTATATGCTATCGCTTGTTTCTGCTGCTTCTTCGCCCGTATTTTGATCAGGATATTCAATTCTCTCTCAGAAGGTGTAATAGCATAGCACCCTCTACCTGATAACAGTGAAAACACAAAAAGCCAGAATATTCTGTCAATGGCGGGGAAGCGTTGTCTCATAAATGACGCCAAATTCTGTCAATGGTGGGGAAAGAGTTAAAACACTGAAGTATTTTTTAAGCTTTAAAAATGTCTCAAGTTAAAGCTAGTTCGGTCCTGAAACTCTAGATCAGAGGTCTTCAACACTGTTCCTGAAGGCCCACTGCCCTGCAAAGTTTATATCCAACCTGCTTCAACTTGTGATTTTCAAGCAGTCCTGAAGAGCTTTCTTAGCTGCTTCAGGTGTATTTGAACCATAATTTACTACAAGCTGATTGGCCTCTTGCTCAGCATTTAAATAGTCCGGTTCAGTGTTCGCTGTAAGCTGGTCCTGCAGTTCCTCTGAAACGCCCCACCTCCCCCAGCTCCACCTGCCTAGATCTGACATGGGATTTATGTATGCCTATTCATGCAGCAGCAGCATATCCTTCAGGTTCACAGCAGCTTGTCTGTGTATCTGTTTGCAATAGCAAGTCCATACACACAACGGCATTTGTAGATCTAGTCCGCCAAGACCAAATACATTTAAGGTAGGGTAGGCACTGTTTTTCAGAAACACTTTTTGTCATACTAGTTGAAACTATCTTCGCATCCTGATAGCAATCAATAATAGAAGAAAAAAAATGAACCTATATCTTCTGTGGAAGTCTCAGGACCAAAACATTTTCTGTCTAAATGTAATGATAGGATGTCCTACCTGCCTGTCACACATACATGCATATTAGGATTTATGGTTGCCGATCAGCCATGAGAAGTAAGACTCTGTGTTTAAAGGCCCTTTTAAGACCCTGAATACTCTCGGTGCAGAAGCCACAGGCTGATAGGATTAGGGCTGCACGATATTGGAAAAAACTGACACTGCGATATTTAGTTTTTCTGCGATATATATATTTTGATATGATAACAATTTCATCAGGTGATTTGAATAGCTACATTTTTAAAGAATTATTCATCATCGGATGTAATACAATTAATACAATTTATCTTTGTTAAAACTCCGAAAGTGATTTTCTTTCTCTTTTGTCATTTGATTAACATTGGTGACACAAACAGCTGAGGGTATATTAGGCTGCTGTCACTTTAAGACAAATGCATGGATCCAGTATAATGATACGCTTCCGTTTTTCTCAGTACTGTTTACAACACATAACCGACTGTGTTTACTAGGATACTCGCAGAGATGGACATTTTGACTTAATTTTGCATGTATGCGTGTCCGTTCAAGCTCAAAAGTATATATAACTTAATTTGGCATTCACGTGCTGTCTGCGGTCCCAGGTTACTTGCGCTTAAACTGACAGGACTTAACCCTCTGAGGACTAAGCCCTTTTTGGTCCGTTTTCTCTGTTTTTACATTTGGGCTTATAAACCATATGTAATGGAGATGGATCACTATGTGTTTGGTATCTATGGATTCAGAAGACCCTAAGATAACATAAGCATACATGTAATGTGTTTATAAAGGAAGTATGAGTGCAAAATGTACTATAAACTAGAGAATTTCATAAACGGAAATTAGATTTTTCTCATTTATTTCTGAAAATCACACATCACACAAATAGTGAACAGTTTTTGAACAAAAAATATATGTCAAAGCCTTTGCTTGACAGACATGTGTGATTGTTAAATAAAATGTGTAAAGAACAATGAAAAATGTAACTTTATTTACAAATAGTCCCAGGCGTTTTTCTTAGGAATACTTAGAATTTTCTAAGCAATGCTTTCTCCTCGTCAATCTCCAGTAATTGTTCCAGAGCTTGTTCCACCGTAAATCGTTTACTGCTTGCCATCATAAAAGTGCTAAAACAATAAATAATGCTATAATTGTATGCATGTGTATATATATATATTATAATTGTTCTGTCTCTCTCTCATATAAATCTCTGATAATCCGCTCCGTAAGCCTCCGTTCGCTCTCTCTCCTTCTCTCCATTCAACGCTGTTTGCGTCATATCACTAACTATATAGGACCACCCCTTGCAAGGCTACAGAGTCCTTTGATTTGCTAGAAAGGTCATGGTAACCTTCCTCTTATTGGGTAAGAAAAATATTTCTCCATCGGCAATTTTTCCATTGGTTGTTGTTCGCGGAATCTGCCAAACAACATCGATTTCATTGGCCTTTTACATAGTGGTATTGCGCAACAAGGAAGTGTGTATATTTACAAGCCGGGTATCACTGTTTTCAGCGGAATCTGAGGAACACGGTAAAAATAACCGCAGCTCTCTATCATTAATAGTTTTTAAGATAATTACACATTTGTAAAAGTATGCCATTTTGGGCGGTACCGCCCAATCCGTCCCCAGAGGGTTAAAGGAGAACTCCGGCGCAAAATGAACCTTTGGTCTAATAAAACATTGGTACCTAGTCAACCGTTCTCTGAGATTTGTTTTCATGATAATCGAATGTAAAGAGTTTTATCTCTAAAAACTCAACTGTTTAGCGTATAACGCTAGTAATGGGGGCATCTATTAAGTAAAAATAAATCGCTAGTTTATACCACTAACAAGACTCAAAATAGCCCCACACTCACACAGTAACATAATGAGGGTCCCTACATGCAAAACGAAGCATTGAGAACTTTGTAAGTGTACAGACCGTTTAATAAGAAGATATTTTATGAAGACAGTCCACTTCGTGTATACAGACAGGAGCCATCTTTGGAAAACAGTCTCGACTAATCAAACCACGAACGCCATTCATACAGTTCAGAAGTTCACTGAACTTCATACAGTTCAGCTCACTTAGCACATCGTTCCTGGTTTGATTAGTCGAGACTGTTTTCCAAAGATGGCTCCTGTCTGTATACACGAAGTGGACTGTCTTCATAAAATACCTTCTTATTAAACGGTCTGTACACTTACAAAGTTCTCAATGCTTCGTTTTGCATGTAGGGACCCTCATTATGTTACTGTGTGGGGCTATTTTGAGCCTTGTTAGTGGTATAAACTAGCGATTTATTTTTACTTAATAGATGCCCCCATTACTAGCGTTATACGCTAAACATTTTTTAGAGATAAAACTCTTTACATTCGATTATCATGAAAACAAATCTCAGAGAACGGTTGACTAGGTACCAATGTTTTATTAGACCAAAGGTTCATTTTGCGCCGGAGTTCTCCTTTAAAAGCACATGCAAATGCTAAAATTCACTCTATGAATCTTTGCAATAAATGCGCGAATCACATGCGTTCCTATCCGGGGAGCAGCTGGCCTGTACGGTTCACGGATTAATCACGATCCCTATACTTGACATCGCACATACTGCAGATGCACACATCATAATATTGATGCTAAAACGATATATAGTGCAGCCCTACTGTCAACATATGTATTTCCAAACCTCCACGTACCTGCTCGCCAGACCTCACACGTCATCAGCTCGTTCCATGAGGTTATGCAGAGTTGTAGACAGACAGTCGCCGAGCGCCACAAAGAAACAGCAGCCGCCTTTTACAGTTCCTTCTGATCCAAAACAACAAGCTTATGCTGTGTTCACATCATGTCGTAATTACCGTAATTAGAAGATGACAACCCGTACTTGGAGCCGTTCATGTCCTCTGACTCGGAATTATCCATTTCTATGGCAGCACTATCAACGGTGAAATTAATCTGCAGCAGTCAGATGGTACAAGTTAGAGCTAAGGTGTTTACGTTCATTATTATTGTAATATTATGTGCTTTAGACATGAGGTAATATAACGCCGTATCGAGGCTTTGCAGACTCTGCTGTGTGCGTTCTTGTGTTTTGAAGGAGGCGTAGCTTTGGAGACTCTCTGAAGGGAGGTTCGGATATCATGCTTGTAAAGCTAGCTTGCTATTGCTAGCCTCTACGAAATTGCCTACCCTACCGTTAACATTGCCATATCCATTAGCATGCTAAAACTATTCAGAGATTTGTGATGATTTAAATATATTTTGTTCCATTCCTTTGTTCTCCTTCTAGCTGTTTTTGAACACATACTGATTTTGCGAGGTGTAGCTAGCTGTGCTGCCTCCAGAAAATATGCTTTGCATGGAGGTGGTACTTAAATTGTTTATCAAATTTATTTACAGGACGGGGGGCATGTATTGTTATTTTGCCTTAAAGGATTAGTTCACTTTAAAAAAAACTTTTGCTGATAATTTACTCACCCCCATGTCATCCAAGATGTCCATATCTTTCTTTCTTCAGTCGAAAAGAAATTAAGGTTTTTGATGAAAACATTCTAGGATTTTTCTCCATAATGCACTTTACTGGGCAGCAAACGGTTCAAGGTCCAAAAGACAGTTTCAGTGCAAACTGCAAACTGTTCAAATGGCTTTAAACGACACCAGACGATGAATAATGGTCTTATCAAGCGAAACGATCGCTCATTTAAAAAAAAAATAACAACGTTTAAGTTTTATAAGCTCACATGCTCGCCTTTCTCCTTTCTGTGTAACTCTCCTGTTCGAACTCGTTCATCAAAATGAACAAATCTTTTCCCGAGTCAATTCGTTCATTTCGGTCGTTAAATGAATCAAATGACTCGAAAAAAGATTTGTTCATTTTGATGAACGAGTTCGAACAGGAGAGTCACGAACGTGCATCACAGAACAGAGCAAGGTGTATTTGAGCTTATAAAACTTAAATTTTTTTATTTATTTTTTAAATGACCGATCGTTTCGCTTGATAAGACCATTATTCATCGTCTGGTGTCGTTTAAAGCCCTTTGAACAGTTTGCAGTTTGCACTGAAACTGTCTTTTGGACCTTAGACCGTTTGGTGCCCAGTAAAGTGCATTATATGGAGAAAAATCCTGGAATGTTTTCATCAAAAACCTTAATTTCTTTTCGACTGAAGAAAGAAAGACATGCACAACTTGGATGACATGGGGGTGAGTAAATTATCAGCAAAAGTTTTTTTAAAAGTGAACTACTCCTTTAATTGTTATGTTAATGTATTCCATTTTTTTTGTTTTGTTACTGTTTTATAATTAATCATACAAAATTGACAGGCCTTATCTTAATGAATGATGTGGCTCTCTTTGCTCTTTATTTATTTGAAATGTATTTGTTTATGCAGTGGCTTTTCTTTCTGTAATTACATGGAAATGTCTGGCATCTGTTTCACAGGCACTTTATCGAGTTCTTGCGCAGCCATTATTTCTGTAAGTACCAGATCGAGGTGCTGACCAGTGGCTCTGTGTTCCTGGCGGACATCCTTTTCTGCGAGTCAGCCCTCTTCTACTTCTCTGAGGTGAGGATGCTTATTCATGACTGACCGACAGGCATCGTCCTCTTTTTCATTCATATATGCAGTTTATATATACAGATGTTGAATTATATATAATGTGGTGTGCTGTACTTTTTAAATGCGCTTTAAAATTGGATTTAAGTGTTTCATGAGTCCAGATGTTAGGTGTCCTTTTAGAACACACTTTCAAGTTGAATTTATGCATAGAGCTGTATAAGCACAGGAAATATGCTGAGTTCGACAATCTGCCCAAAACCTGTTTCAAAAATAGCAGAATTCCCCAAAAGTGCAAGTGTGCGTAAAACTTGATGGATTTCTGATCCAAGTACATTTAAAGTGCCAAGGGATTATAAAGTGGGATTGAAACCTAATTCAAAGTGTGTGCGCGTATGTGTGTGTCAAAATAGTACATGGAGAAGGAGGACGCAATGAATGTGCTGCAGTTCTGGCTGGCTGCAGAAAACTTTCAAGATCAGTTGGCTGCCAAGAAAGGCCAGTATGACGGACAGGAAGCCCAGAATGATGCCATGATCCTTTATGACAAGTATGTCCTATCTGAAATTCAGTATAATCTCTGTTTTTGCACAATATTCTAGTCTAGTACTAGAGATGGATCAGGATGATAAACTAACCGACTAGTCATCAAATTATCTCAGTCAATTGAGTTGTGAATTGTGAAAGATTTTTTAACATTTATTTTAAATTGGTGGTACGATAGTCAGGATAAAATTTCAGGACAACTTCTCAAAATTCAGGTTTTAAGCCTCTTCTGCTCACCAGGACTACATTTATGTGATCAAAAATACAGTAAAAACAGTAATATTGTGTAATTATTACAATTTAATATAACTCTTTTTTTTTATTTAAATTTTTTTTTTAAAATGTAAATTATTCCTGTGATGCAAAGCTGAATTTTCAGCATCATTAATCCAGTCTTCAGTGTCACACGATCCTTCAGAAATCATTCTAATATGCTGGTTTGATGCTCAACAGCATAATGCTGCGTTCACACCGGACGCGAATAGCGCGTCAGGCGCGAGTGATTTCAATGTTAAGTCAATGCAAAGACGCGTTACGCGCGTAAAAAATTCCTGCGGCGCGAATGAGGCGTAGAGCGTGGTGCGGTAGACGCGAATACGCCTCATTGCGCGAATTGAGCGTCTGGGGTGTTACGCGCGAATGGTGCATTTTGTTCATTCACGCGAATTCGCGTCTGCCGCCCGAGTTGAAAAATCTGAACTTTGGCATCAATTCGCGCCGCGTTAACCAATCAGGAGCCTAGCTGCTTGCTGCTGTCACGTGGTGAAGTATCTGGATGCTTCAATAAATTATGTTGTAATATGACTAAATATACCTGGTGTGGTTCTAATGCACAACAAATCAAATATTTTATCACATAAAACTTGATTTCAATATATGAGACATTAATTTTGTATTGAATGCTAATTATTCCATATCTAGATTATATGAAATATTATTATAATGTAAAGACAACCAACATACTATAGTGCATAAATTCGTGTCTGGACAGTGTTGTGTGAGAGAGAAAAAAAATCACAGGACAGGTTAATCACTTTTGGAGGCTGGCTCCATTTATCATCAACACAAAAATAAATGACATATTAGGTGGGTGAGGGCGAGGGTGATCCTTGCTCCGATGCGGGACAACAGGTCATCAAACTGGGCGCGGGACAGGCGGAAGTACCGCTGAAAGCGGCCGTCATCCAGGCGCAGCTCCTGGAGCGAGCAAATGGTAAAACTCGCCAAACTGGGTTCGCCTCCGAAGGGTCTGGTGGACACAAATACGGCGACGATGATCCCTACGCCGCTGTTCTGCTCTCCAGAGCAAATACAGAGCGGTGACTCTCCCGATGAATGCTCGGTCAAAATAAAAAAAGATGGCTGCCAACAGGTTTCGAATCCGACACGCGTGACGCGCGTAAATTTCACTTCAAACTTTTGTAACGCGTGTCAGTTTCACTCTTGACGTGCGAATTAACACAAAGTGGTCAAGCGTCAAATTAGACGCGCTATTCGCGTCTGGTGTGAACGCAGCATAACGATTACTCTAGGTTAGGTATTGTTAGGTAGACAGAAGACATGACAGTTCATATGTTCTCCTTAGGTATTTTTCACTCCAAGCCACAAATCCATTGGGTTTTGGTGACTCTGTACGGATGGAGATCGAATCCAATATCTGTCGAGAAGGCGGACCTCTCCCAGACTGCTTCAACACTCCACTAAGACAGGCCTGGACCACCATGGAGAAGGTGGGTTCTCAACTCTAAACCTCAACACTTTCCTGTAAATGTGTGCAAGGGATGATAAAGATGGTAGGTTTGTATTGAGAAGGAAATTCATACTGAAGTTTTCTTGTTTTCTCAACCTCAGGTTTACATGCCAGGCTTCCTGTCAAGCAACCTTTACTACAAGTATTTGAGTGACCTTATTAACTCTGTACGGGTGGACGAGTTCATTGGAGGAAATGCCAACACTCCGAACCAGGGCTGGACCCAGGAAAGCGACCGCAACTCGGGCGTCACGGAAGGGTCACAAGCCCAGGTGATTCACTGGTTCAATGGTGGCACAAAAGGCCACATGGCTCTTTTTTTAAAGCTGCAGTCCGGCGTTTTTCCTCTTCTCTGTTCGAAATCTGCAATTGCAGTCATTCGCGGAATTATCAACTTTACGTGAGTTGTAGTTCAACACCCTCGACACGGCACAGCGCGGATGAACACAATGTTTGAGGAGAGTGTGCAGCTGTCAGTCACCGCGCCGGTGTCGATACTGGCATTCAGAATCACAGATTATTCTTTTTGGAAGTATGACCAACATAAGAATTTTCACCGGAAAATGTCATCTGAACTAGTAAGAAACATCCACCTTTGTTCTGGTTCTGACATTGCAGTAAATCGCGCTGATTAAATCTAACAACCGCTTATAAGTTATCATATCACGCAAAACCGTGCAAATTATACTTTGTTCTTAAATTGTTAATGTTAACAACGTCAGCAAGCATTGCGTGACTACATGTAATGTCCTTCCGATATGTATCCTTGTTTTCGCATGGGTCCGGTTGCAGTCTCTTCTTTCTGTAGCCACTCCAAAGTCCGAACGAAGTCTTTTGCATTTACAGCGGGTGAATCTGTTGTCACTGGTGATTGTCGTTTGACCCTTTCTGGATCCGCCATCAAATTGATAAGTTTAATTATATCAAGTGCTGTGAGAAAAGGCTATAAATCTCCACCTGCAACATCCTCACACTCATAGCCTACTAGCCGAGACTCCTCCTTTATGTGTACAGATGTGACGTAATGACGCAAACACATGCTCGAATCTCCCGCGGAAATCCACCAGTTCCACTGGAATTAAAAACATTATTACAAGCTTACCGCTTTGAATCGAGCTAAGGCAAGCAGATAGTTTTAAACACTGGCTGGTTATGTATTTTCTCAAATATGTATCTTGGATAATTTTTAACCCAAAAAAAGCTACGGACTGCAGCTTTAATAATAATACAAAGATTGTTCAGGAAAATGGGTGCAAGTATAAGTAACTGTCCTGATATCCCAAAATGTTTTCACTTCCGGTTGCAGCAAGGTACTAAAAAAGCAGCAATCAAGATCCTGAAGAACTTCGATGAGGCGATAACGGTGGACATCGCCAGTCTGGACCCTGAGTCTCTCTACCAGAGACCATATGCTGGGTGAGTCTGGGTTTGAAACCCCCATACTTCCTTTAGGGCTGGGCGGTATGAGGATATATAATGTGGCTAGGATATAAAGTGTTTATCGTTAGAGAAGCTGCGAACAGCATGCAATCCCGAATTCAGTTCTCTTTCGTGGCTTATTGCACTTAAATGGTCAAATATACACACACAATTATGTAAAAATGTCCATCGTGTGGAGTATTCTCATAAACACAGTCAGTTATGTTCTACGTGAACAGTTGAAAGTCCAAAAGCGTATATTTGTCAGTATATTCGGTCCATGCATTCAGTCTTAAAGTGACAGTAGACAAATATACCTTCTACCGTCTGTTTCAGTAATGCTAATCAAACTAGACAGAAAATCATTCAATGCTCTTGACTGAATAACCTTTGTATTTTTTAATAAGAATCAATTTATTTTTAATTTATATAGAGAAGACTATGCAGTGTTTTATTTTAACATTTTATTATTCAATTTCTGCACTATTTCTTACATGTACTGTAACCTACTGTACATTGTAGTTTATTTAATTAGTTTCTTTGTTCTATTGTTTATTCCTATTGTTTGTATTATTTGCTTCTTTGTTCTTATTTGTAATAACAAAAATAAAATGCTTGCATATAATCATGATTTCAGGCTGACGTAGATGGAAAAAATAAGCACTTGATAAAAAATATGTACTTTTTCCTGGCTAAAAAATGTTAGCTAAAAATAAAATGTACAATTTTTTCGTGGTCCGATTGGGCTTGCAGAAAAAGATCCTTATTGTTGAGGCCTGGTATTATACACAAAACATTCAGATCCAGATTCATTGTGTCTCGCTTTCATCTCAGAAGAATGACCTTTGGAAAGGTGAATGAGCTGGGCCAGTTCATCAGAGAAGCCGAGCCAGAACCAGATGTGAAGAAGTCCAAGGGTAGGACACACACATTTGATTTTTCTCCTCTCTCTCACTTAAAGCTGCAGTCCGTAGCTTTTCCTCTTTGTCGCCATCTCTCTGTTCGAAATCTGTAACTGCAGTGATTCACGGAATTATCATCTTTACGTGGGTTGTAAATCGGCATGAAACAGCGCGGATGAACACAGTGTTTTGAGGCGAGTGGTGCTGTCAGTCACCGCGCTGTGTGGATACTGTCATTCAAAATCACAGATTCACTTTTTGAAAGTTTGACCAACGAAAGAATTTTCATAAGAAAATGTCTTCTGAACAAGTAAGTAAAATCCATTTTTGTTCTGACCAACTAAGGGGGAAAAAGCATTCGACATGATAAGCTTCGTTAGATTTAATCAACGCGATTTACAGCAACCGTGCAAATTATAGCCTACTTTGTTCTCAAATTGTTCATGTTAACAACATCAGTATTGCGTGACTAATGTTAAATTTAATGTGTTTTATGGTTACCTGTGTAGTTCAGAATTCATATTCTCCATAATAGCAAAACGAGAAAGGCACAACAAAGGAAACTCCATAACTGTGTGAATTAAGAAAACGTACTGTTACACGATTGAACTATTGAAATGTCTTAACCTACTTGTTCAGCAGAAAAAAGCCGTCTCTTCTTCCGTTTTGAACCCCTTCAAAACACGGAGTTCACGCACTTTTCAAAAGCCCCGCCGATGTTTAAATCCTTGTGTTCACATGAGACGATTTCTTTCTCTTTCTCTAGCCACCTTAAATCCGAAGTACGAAGTCTTTTGGGTTTTATAACTGCTGAATCTCCAGTTGACACTGATGATTGTTGTCTGGATCTTTCTGGATGCCATAAGTTTAATCATGTAAAGTGCTGCGAGAAAAGCCTATACATCTAAACATCTCGTCACGCGCAGTATAGCCGGCTAGCCGAAACTCCTTCTTTATGTGTACGGGTGTGACGTAATGACGCAAAGACATGCTCGAATTTCCCGCGGAAACCCACCAGTACCACTGGAATTAAAATCATTATTACAAGCTAACCGTTTTGAATCTAGCTATGGCAAGCAGATAGTTTTGACCACTGGCAGAATGTTTTTTTTTAATATAATTATTTTGGATTATTTTTAACTTAAAAAAGTTACGGACAGCAGCTTTAAACACACTTGCACATGTTGTGTGTGTTGTGAGTTGGCTCTTAGTTATGACATGCTGAAGTGCATGAGAGTGTTGCCATGGCTATAAGTAGCCGGTGATTATGGTGAAGAGCGGTGGAAAGCAGGATACAGCTCTGTCCAGCTCACTCACTCACTCTCACTATTTCCTTTCTGACAGGTTCAATGTTTTCTCAAGCAATGAAGAAATGGGTGCAAGGAAACTCAGATGAGGTGTGCACCTGCTTATTGCATTCCTATTACATGCGCCATCTTTTTAATCAGTGGGAATTGATTTAAGCTTGTTATGCTTCATGATACACTGACTTTGTTTTTGGTTTCAGGCACAAGAAGAGATGGCATGGAAGATTGCAAAGATGATCGTAAATGATGTCATGCAGCAGGGACACCATGAAAGCCCTGAAGTAAAGTCAACAAAAGTACATCATATTATTTTATCTTTGCATTTATGCTTGAACTTATGGGATAGTTGACCCAAAAATGAAAATTCTGTCATTTAATTCACGTCGTTCCAAACCCAGACTTACTTTATTCTTTGGAAAATTCCTCAATCTTTATGCTCCTCATTTGCATAGTGATGCACCAAAATATACATACATACGGTACATATATAATATATATATATATATATATATATATATATATATATATATATATATATATATATATATATATATATAAAAACCCGACAACCTTCAGCGACAATTTACCTCTCAATATATTTTTATTTTACTTATATACATGTTTGGTAATCGTGAAGTGCATCCACACTTCTGACATGTATTCATGTTGCTGATCTGTGTTGTGTGACATTGCAACAGTCAAAATGCATTATCAGAGAAGTGTTATTTAAACTTCACTTTTGGTCAATGATTTTGGTCCTCCAAAACTACTTTCGAAACTGAATATTCGTCTTCGGTTTAGATGTTTTTATTTTGGTGCATAATTTATCATACAATGACTTTGGGTTGAGACAGGTGCTGTCAATCTTAAAAAAAAAAAAAAGACAATATAGTGAGTCGAGAAATGTCACAGAAAATTTGACATCAGCGATGCCAAATGACATATTGCACGGCTCTGGGGAATGCTTGATTCTGATAGGTCAGTCGCAACCATAATCAATAACAGTGCTGTTATAATAGTCGGCTCGTCCAAGTATCTGAAGCCGGCGCTTCTCCCATATCACACAGCAGACTCGCTCTTGCTTGTTTAATACAAAAGCAGCTCCTGCCGTCTTGAGTTTTTTTATAGCTAGCAATTTCCTTGAAAATGAAATTGGATTTCAGTATTAAAAGTACTGGAGTATTTTTATCTTCTTGCCAGGATGATAATAAACAGGTAATATTTTAAAACGGTTTCTTCTCAAATCAATTTTTAATGTCCACATAATTTATTTGATGAAAAGCTAAGTAGTAAGTGGTATGAATTTACTAAATTTATTCTTTAAGGCCGGGACACACCAAGCTGACGGTCAGCCGTTGGGCCATTTTTGAGCGTCGGTTAGCTTAGTTTTTCCGGTGTGTTGCGAACCGCTGGCTGTATCCGGACTCCGTCGGGTTTGTTGGGCCGATTCAGCATGTTGAATCGGCGTCGGGCCGTCGGATTGGCTGTTCAGCTTATGCCGAGTTCACACTGAACGATTTTAGGTAGTGATCCACCGATGTGAAAATTGTGGCCGATACCGATATTTACCGATATCGATATATTTTACGATATAAAAACAATTTCACCAGATGACTTGAATAGCTCTATTTGGAAAGAATGAATCATTCTAGAATAACTGGGGTGGTTTTGTCATGGAGTAAATCCGCATAGAAACTAATATTAATAGAATGTTAACTAATGTAGTTAACTAGACTTTAATAAATGGAACCTTATTGTAAAGTGTTTCCGATTTATGTCTCTTGAGTTCAGTGTTGGACAGATCAGTTGTTTTTAACCATTCATTAAAGTGAATCGGTTCAAAGGAGTCATTTACGGACCACGCAGACCCGGCGCCAGACACAAATTCACGGACGGGCATTCATTTTTTTCAGGGAGGCACAAATGAAAACAACCTCATAGCATCATAACAGAATCGATTATGATACTATGCAATGATCGATAGAGCATAATAATTATATAATAGGCTACTGACGCTAAAGGTACGTTTACACACTGCCTCCGCAAGTTTTTATTTAGTTTTTTAAGTAGGTTTGAGAGGTGTTTTCAGGTAATCAGTGGGGTGCTGTGAATTATTATTATTGAAAAAAAATTGGGCATGCATGTTGTGTGGACCTCTGTCCCTAGGGGGGTTCGGGGGCATTCTCCCCCGCAAGAAAATTGTGTACATTTTAAGTTTAAATGCATCAATCTGGTGCACATTGAGAGCTCAAAATTAAGAGCTTCAACCGGCTTCGACCCATGAACTGTGCACATTGAACAAAGAAAAAGCATTGACTTGTACCTAAAGAGGGCTCAAACATCTTGTTAATTATAGTCTCAGTCTACATTACATCGTATTTTATATTAAGCTATAGAATAGGAAAATTACACTACTTTTGTCCTAATTTCTTCACTTGTAAGAAATAAACCTTTGAGCTTTTATTTAGGAGAAAACACAAGATCACCATGCTGATCGTGTGAGCAAGAGCGCACTTTTCTTTAAATCACGCAGCACAAACAGAATGGCTAACGTTAGCCTACTTAATTAAAGTCTTGTGCTGTTTAGCCAAAAAAACTAAATATAATACCGAAAAAACTCGACATGTCAACAAAACATAAACATCTTCCCAAACACATATCAAGCTTATTTAAAAACCTCGAAAGCATAAACACTCATTCAAAGTAATACAACGTATTACGTATTCAGAATACAAATTATGAGTAGGCTAACAGTAGTCTCCACAGAGCATAAAATATTCATTTCATTTTATTTTTCGTGTTTGCATTTATGAGGAAAAAACAATGTTACGGACGTGAGCGCTCTGGCACTAAAAGATGCTTTAAAACTTTCACAGAGACATCAAACAGAAAGCAAAACCTTTCTTTAAAGTGAATTTCGTTTTGTATTAATTGTATCTTAATTTTAATCAATATTTCATCAACCAATTGCCTGGATGGATTTAATAAATAAGAAGTAAATATAGCAGACGATAATGACGAACCGGAGGCGCCAGCGCGTGAACTGGAGCTCGTCGCAATTGAACCGAAACTCAGTGTAGGCGTATAAGGTAGCCTGCCTCACAGACATGTCTACTTTTAAACAGAACAGTTCAAAACGAAAGAAAACAGACTACAGACTGCTCCCTGCTCATGTAATCCGTATGAAATGTGCATTTCTCTATGGCGTTTGAACGAAACGTTTGAATAAAAGACTCGCTTAATAACACCGCTATCACATGCATTTCCGCGCTCTCTATCGACAAACCAATCAATCCGTTTACAATTAGAAAAAAATCAGACCAAACACTTTTTTTTTTTTATTCAGGAGTTATGTATATTCAAAAGGATAACTTTTGATAACAGTAGCCTATTGATAAAAAAGATATTGTGCAAACAAGCAAGGACTGGTGGGACTTGAAGTGGAGTTGGTGAAGGGAGAGACTCGCTCAGGGCGGGCACTAGTGACTCACAGGGCGGGCCAGGCCCCCCAATGCCCGCCCATGGCGCCGGGACTGGGACCACGGCACACGTTGTGTGATTATCCAGGCAGTTTAGGACATCGCACAAGATTTGTCTCAACACAGAAAACATTTCATCACTAGATAGATTATTATTTTTTGTTTATTGAAAGTGTGGTTTATGTCATCTGAATGTGTGGAAAGCTTTTCAGAGAAGATAAGGCAACTTTATTTTAGCACAATTCACAACCAGTGGTAGTTCAGAAAAAAAAAAACTTCGGTCTTCCGACCTTTTACCATCGTGTATTCTCAAAGATATTCAGTCAACTTAATTCATAAATATGCGCGAGGGAGGGAGAGAGAGCAAGACAGTTTGAAGACAATGAGAGTGACCGACCGGAGATTTCACACTCTCTCTGCTCGTTCTCTCAGTTAAACAAGCGCAGCAGTCAGTCATCTACATCACTCACCGGTCAAATAAGGCTTTGGCGGGACAAGTAAGGCTAAAAGAAAACAGCGCGCAAGTTCCAGTCTTCTTGCGCTTGATGTTTAAACTGACAGGACTTGCGCTCGTGCAAAAACAAACATCCCCGCCCCCACACTCACATCTACACACACGTCAAATAAACAGGAATGATTATCGGCCTGTTCACATCGACCCTATTTTGACATCGGAACGACACCGATGTGTAAAAAATTGACCATATCGGCCAACATTAAATCGGCAGCCGATATATTGTGCACCACTAATTTTAAGCCAGATTTTCGTATGCTGACAGGTTTTGTGAGATCGCCAACAAATGCCCGAAATCATAGGCAAATCGGTGCTCGTTCACGTGAGTGACAATCACACAGTGTGAATTGTCAAAGACGCGATCTGAGAGAATCGCTGATGAGTCGCAGATGCCTGTGAGATATTTGGCATGCTAAATATCTGGACCTATCGGCGATTCAAAATCCTGCTGTGTGATTGTGTTCTGACTGAAAACTATAACGGCGATGACCTGCAGCCAATGAGAGGGCAAGAAACAGGACGGCGGGATGTTCGGGGAGGAGTTATAGACCAGAATATCAGTATTTTAATAGATATATTTACAATTATATCAAACAGAAACAAAGCACAAACATTTGCTTGACCAGCAGCAACAGAATTATTTATTTACCCCCAACTCTCTTTACAGAACACACAGTCCTGGCTCCCCTCGTCTCCCCAACCATTTCCTCCTGCATGATCTGTTTTTTCTTTCTCCTTTTCGCTTAAAATCAGCGGACTGACAATTTGGATCGCAAGCTTCTTGAAGGCAATCATTTTTAATAACAATTTCAGTCTCGCTCGAGAACTCCGATCACACGCACACGTGATCTTGTGTTGTTTTCTAATCACTTCTCGCGTGTGTTTGGTTGTGAAACGTAGTTTGCGGACCAGACAGAAATTATCGGCGATTCTTTCTTTTGTAAAGTCATGCAGTTTGAAACCTCCTGTCGCCGATCCACCGTGCAGTGCACACAGCAGCAACTGAATGTTACCCCAGATAGTCGTGCAGTGTGAAAAGAACAGTGACCCGACTACTTTGAAAATCGTGCAGTGTGAAATCGGCATTAGCGAATGAGTCAGTGCACTGAGCATTCAAATGCATGAATATTTTCATAAAGACATGAGCCGACTGGAATGAAGAAAGTTGTCAGCATGATTGATATTCAAAATAGTAAGCAAGGGCTAGTTTCAGTTTACCTTTTTGAATGACGAAAATGGACTATTGATACCTGCTGATATAGACATATTATTTACTTACTACACGTAGGTTCAGAACGCACATGCTAGTTGACAGTTGCCTTTAGTCCTTTCGATGTGTTTAAGCGCAGGTTTTTTGACAGAGGCCACTAGATCTTCGACGTTGGCTTGGTATGTCCTGGGCTTATCTTGTTTGTTGGTCTAGAATCAAAGCTGCTTGCTAGGAACTGTTTTTCTTTGCGGAAGCTTTGCGTTTAATGAGCTAATAGAATTTGAACTCAAATCAATATGTTATGTCTAGTTATTTACTTAAGTAGGGTCGTGTTAAATGGGATAATGTACATCCAGTCGGTTGTCACTGCATAATGGTGCATTCACACAGGGCGTTAGTGTTAAAGCTTTTCATCTACTTTGGGTGGGTTATGTCATGCATTGCTGAACTGAATATAGGCTTTATGCACAGCTTCACTACTTCCTGAACTTCAGCCAGCTCCTTTGTTTCCTGTCTGCCATTATTGGACAAACTGATTAATCCAGGTGTGCCTGATTATTGTTACTGAGGCCAGGCACACCTGGATTAATCAGTTTGTCCAATAATGGCAGACAGGAAACAAAGGAGCTGGCTGAAGTTCAGGAAGTAGTGCAGCTGTGCATAAAGCCAATTGGGGGTTCCGTCGCGCCGCGTCACTGGCGTTGCTCGCGGCAGAAGTTGAAGCTCAACTTTTCAAGCGCCAACGCAGGTGTCAGCCAATTAAATTGCCAAATACCTTGCGCAGACGTTAGCCAATTGTGTTCATGCAACACCGGAAAAGTAATGTGATTGGCTGTTGTCACTATGACGGTCACGTCAGCACCAAGCTTCAGAAACGCCCTCCGTCAACCGTTGACCATTTTTTTTGTTCGTCATTTTGCCAAACAACTCTGTTTAGGTTCCATAGAAGAAATTCATGCATGTTTGGAACAAAGTGGGGGTGTGAAAAAGATGCCAGAATTTTCATTACATGGGGAACTTTGCCTTTGCATGGTTGTTGTGTATTCATAGCCAATTTAGGCTTCTTTTAGAATTGCAGGCATACTACTTTGGTTTGATTCTATATTCTTGTGATTCTAAGTTTCTGTCTGAATATCTTCAGAAGGTGTGCAGAATCTGATCTGTTCTGTTTTCATCAGCTATGAGCCTCTGGTTCAGTGTGGAAGCAGCTCGTATCATCCCTCCTGACGTCCAAACAACCTGAAGACCAACACAGAGCTGAACTGCGTTAACATATCAGTGAGGACCCGAAAGAGGCATTCCGTGACTTCCTGCATGTGTTTGTGTGTGAGAGCCTGAGTGTTTAGATATGCACACTAATAGCCAAAATAAGATTTCTGTATGACCCCACCCCATCATTTCTAGCACTCAGAAGGATTTGTGTTTATTATTTGAAGAGGTGCGAAATGAGTTAAAGTACAGACGTAAATAAACCAGTCAACCAACAAGTGAGAGCTGTCGCACAGCGGGCGAACAGAACAAGACTGAATGAACACTGACGCAAGCTGTGGAATTTCAAAAACCACCTGAGTCGCTGTTGCGCTTAGCTTTTACCATGTCGACCAACATTAAGCACACGGGAATCTGAACAGGAACTGGTCTACGAAGTGGCGGTGACTAGTTTACTACGATTTTTCCTTCCTCATCTTAGTTCTTATCTCACACTTCTCTTTTATCTTTCTTTTTCATTCACCTTTTTAAAGAGTGGCTGTTAAGTGCTTAGGTCCTTTTTTAGTACAAATAAAGAGAAAAACAAAAATGCAGAAATACCCAAGGTGGCTATGTACAGTTTTATGGTATGCCATAGTGGATGTAAGTCAATCAGTGTCTGAGACTGTTCTGTCCCGCTCTCATGGAGCTGAAGTGACTGATGTTACATTTGAAACTGGAATGGGAACAGGAGAATGTTCCCTGACTGCAGTGCAGAACTCCATCTAAAACCTGATTCTAGACTGTAGAGATACGCAAACTGAACTGCAATGTTTATCCCCGTTCTATATAAATGTGGATTCCTGGTTTACCGCCATATATTAATGTTAGCTCTTTTTATGGTGATTGTCTTTTTTTTTTTTTTGTATGATATGTCAAAACTCTGTCTAAGCAAATCTCAATGATGACTGTTTTTGAATTGCGTACTTGGACATGAAGTTATTGCTTTGGACCTCATTGAGATGTGGACGAGAAACAGACAAACGACTTTTGGTACTATGTACCACTAATATGTTTTCTGACATATATGTGTACTTAATCTATAATATATTTAAATGTGTTTGATTTAAATACATATAATGTTGAAATGTCCCTTGACACAGTGTTTGTCTTTTGTTTTTGTCTTTACCTGTATAGGCAGGATATGCACTGTGAAACTGGATTTGGGCCCAAGTATTGAGCATAAAAATAAATAAGGTGTGTAGGCAGGGCTTACAGAGAAAAGTTCTCATTGGCTAGTGTTTTGGCATAGGTAGATGGTTAAATACCAACAAAAGCATTGAAATGTTGTTTTGCTTTCCACCTCATTTTAGTTCCATCACAAAGGTTTTGAAAGAAAATGCAAAAAGCATTAAAATACACTCACCGGCCACTTTATTAGGTACACCTTGCTAGTGCCGGGTTGGACCCCATTTTGCCGTCAGAACTGCCCTAATCTTTAGTGGCATAGATTTTGGTTAGATTTTAGATTTTGACATGATAGCGTCACACAGTTGCTGCAGATTTGTCGGCTGGACATCCATGATGTGAATCTCCGCTCCAGCACATCCCAAAAGTGCTCAATTGGATTAAGATCTGGTGACTGTGGAGACCATTTTAGTACAGTGAACTCATTGTCATGTTCAAGAAACCAGTTTGAGATGATTTGAGCTTTGTGACATGGTGCGTTATCAATCAGAAGATGGGTACACTGTGGTCATAAAGGGATGGACATGGTCATTGGTCAGCAACAATACTCAGGTAGATTGTGGCGTTTAAACGATGCTCAATTGGTACTGTGAACTGTAGCCTCAGATTCCTGTTCTGAGCGGAGTTCTTCTGCTGTTCTTCTCCTTTCAGAGACACTCTTTTGCTGACCTCTGTCGTAACGAGTGGTTATCTGAGTTACTGTTGCCTTTCTATCAGCTCGAACCAGTCTGGCCATTCTCCTCTGATCTCTGGCATCAACAAGGCATTTTCGCCAACAGAACTCCTCCTCACTGGATATTTTCTCTTTTTCTGACCATTCCCTGTAAACTCTTTAGATGGTTGTGCTTGAAAATCTCAGGAGATCAGCAGTTTCTGAAATACTCAGACCAGCCTGTCTGGCACCAACATCCATTCTACATTCAAAGTCACTTGAAGGGTTAGTTCACCCCAAAATGAAAATATTGTCATTAATTACTCACCCTCAAGTCGTTCCCCGTAAGACTTTCATTCATCTTCACAAATGAAGATCTTTTTGATGAAATCTGAGAGCTTTCTGTCCCTCCATTGACAGCTACGCTGTCCACTTTAATGTTTCAAAAAGTTCATAAAGAGATTTCAATTTTTCTGAAGAGACTCCATTGCTTTATGATGAACAGACTCCATTGCTTTATATGATGAACAGATTTAATTTAGGCTTATATTTAAACATTGTTTAGTGAACATAAAAGAAGCTCAACTGAATCTGCTTGACATGGGAAAGCAAACCTCATTGGTTCTTGCAGAAGCTCAAACGTGCTGCTTAACACGAGAATGAACCACATAGGTTCTCGCACGTCAAGAGAGCATGCGTTTACCACAACTGATGTGTGAGTTGATGAATGTTTATTTGTGAATAAAAGCCGAAATTCAATCCTTTCATCATATAAAGCGATAGTTTCTCTTCAGAAAATATGGACCAAACCGCTCAATATGGTAGCCTAGTTTTACGATCTCTATAAACTTTTTGAAACACCAAAGTGCGTAGCTGTCAATGGAGGGACAGAAATCGCTCAGATTTCATTAAAAATATCTTGTGTTCCGAAAATGAACGAAAGTGTTAAGCGTTTGGAAAATGAGGGCGAGTGACAGAATTTTTATTTTTGGGTGAACTGTCCCTTTAAATCAACCCATTCTGATTGCTTCAGCAAATCGTATTTACCATGTTGCTGCCATGCGATTGGCTGATTAGATATTTGCGTTAACAAGTAGTCCGCAGCATAAAGTGGCCGGTGAGTGTATAATTTTTCCTCCCATCTCATATTCACCATGTTACCGTTGGGGCTCGAGGGGTGATTTCTAGCCATTGAAATATATGCTTTGCATTACTAGAAAAATGTATATTATAGAAATATCCATGATGTTTGTGCTCTGTCTGATGCTGAAAACTATGTATGCATTCAATATGTGTCCATTCTCATATTCCAAGGGAAAAGTCCATGGCATGGTAAATCACCACCAGAGGGCAGTGTAAGACGCTACGCTTTCACACTTTTTGGAAATGGGCTAGAATCCTAATACGATAGCTCAAATATGAATCGGTCTGTTTTTATTATTGTTTATATTCCTGGATTATACTTTTGTCATCTTATATTTAATAATTTGCCTTTATTGGTGCGAGTATATTGAAGTTAGGCTGGCGAAACGCAGGCAGGAAAACTATTATGATGGCATCATACACTTCAGGTTTTAACAAAAAAAGGTATTGGATTCAGGTCTTCATGAATCAAAAACTCGTCTGAACACCTTCGCAGTGGCGGTGACGCCCACATCCATGTGACTGTGACAGGCTTGCAGCGCAGTAAGTTTGAGCTCTCACTCCTGCAGCGCACGAGCTGCGACTCAGTGTCGAGAGGAAGATGATGATGATGATGATGATGATGGTTATATGTGGGCTGTGATTAATTCAAGCGGATAGGATTCAGATCTACATAGTGATCGAGCACCTGCTGTGGCTGCTCAGAGTGCTTGAGCTCTGGGTGTGACTGTTGTCTTTTGTCCTCCACCTGCCTCCTCTCAGTCAGATGAATTAACTGGAATATCTTCTGTATTAAACTGGATCGTGCTGGAATTACATTTAGCCGAAAAGTTGTGTATGCTCACTAGTTCACTGGTGCATCTGATTTGTCTCTCAGTGGCACTCTCAACGTATCGGTAACTCATGTGTTTGTTTATGTGATTATCGGTGCTCATCTGATGTCACACAGTCAGTGAGCGCGCTCCAGATGCACGCGCTGTTTGATCGGAATTGGAAAGGGCTGGAAATCGATCTGTCTCCGGTCTCGTTACCCCACGGTGCCGTGAGGATGTTCAGCTGTGTCGGGTGTTTTTGGGTGCTCCTGTCCTCCTCCCTGGTCGCGATTTGCAGTTTCAGTTTCATCTCTCCCGCATGGATAGTGAAGGACCTCCTGAAAAACAAGGACTCCGTGAGTTTCGGGCTCCTGTGGCACTGCTCCGAGTCTCAGGATCATATGTACAGATGTTACACCTTCGGCGGGCTGGGGAAATTTCAAGAGATTCCTTCAAGTTCTTGGCAGGTAGGCTGGATATGGATATATGGTTAACATATGAGAAAAATACTAACCTAAAACGGTATTTGCTATAAATGTTGAGGATACTGCAACTTTTGAATCAAACGCAGCCTGATATGCAGAACTACTTCAACATCAGTTTGTATTGCTCGTGCACAAGAAGCAACAATCATGGGGAACTTTTCTGTGCTGATTTCAACGAAATTATGCTTCTATTAAGACATTTTTAGTTTTAAAGAATAGGTTAAAACATAAAAAGTTTTTTAAAAAAGCATAAAAAAACAGTGTCCTTGTTACACGTTACATGTAGTTACTATAGTAATAAATTACCGGTATGCATAATTAAATGCAACTAACCCTACAAAAAACCCTAATCCTAACCATAGTAAGTACATAGCACGTAGTTAATTAATATTAGACAGCTAATATAGTACTTAATTAATTACACTGTAACAAGGAGTCAAGGACACCTTAAAATAAAGCATAACCAAAGTTTTTATTACTTTAATGTCTTCCCTATTTTTTAAAGTGTTGAAAGGGTATACATTAATCTTTTTTCTAATTCATAAAAAGTGTTAAAAAAATGGGCGAATTTCAACTTTCCACTTTTTTTCAACCTTGATATTATGTACCCCTATATTGGTATTGTGACAGTTTAAACATCAGAAATGTCATTTTGAGCTTTTTTTGGTAACACTTTATTTTAAGGTGACGTAGTTACATGTTGCTAAATGTACTTACAATAACAGTAAATTATGCATAATTACAACTACCCTAAACCAAACCCTAACTCAGTAAGTACGTGTAGTTAATTAATATTACTCAGTACTTATTTGAGTAAGTACAATGTAACAATGTCACCTTAAATAAAGTGTAAACTTTTTTTAAATCATGTGTCATAACTATAGTGTCATTATTCCAAAAGTCCAAGTTTTTCTCCAAAAAGTGATAAAATTGTCATCACAGTATATCAAGTATCCACATCATCCCACATTACTCCAAGCTATATTATACCTATAAATTGGTTGTTCAAGTCTATGATCAGATATTGTAGGACATTTAATGAATGTTTTAAAGAGAAAAAACACGAGTGTGAAGAAGTTTCATTTTAAAAGATTTCAGAAGTGCAAGTATAGTCAAAAGTGCCTTAATTGAATAATCACCATTATATTGCTTTATTATGTTTCTTTGAAACAACATGGATTGTGAAAGGTGCTATACTAACAACATATTAAAATATATAATCACATGGCATAGATGACTTCTGGCACAATCCCTCTTCATGATGGGAAATAAAAGGGCAAATGTTGCTTATCTCAGTGCAGGACCATGGTAGTTTTCACTCATTTGACATATACAGATCTATTCTTAGCAGCAAAGTGCAGCAGTCATTTTCAATAATTCAAAGCCCATAAAGCAAGAGTAGAAATGGGACCAGCCCAGTAAATGCTGATCAGTCCTACTGGCAAGAATAAAAACATAGTTTTACACAGCCTGTTGAAATTTCCTTTTGCAGTTTACAACCTTGTAACCTTTACAAATTATCCAGTGTCTAAAATGGGGTCACTTGAAAAAAGCCATGACTTAAGCAATGGGATTGTGCCAATAGAGGCTCATGATTTCCTGAAAGGTTAGTCAGACATGAGTATGTGTTTATCAGACTTCATCGGACTGTCCTCAATAACTCATAGCTGATTTGTCCTTGGGGAACATCTGTCTTTTCACCTCACCCAGTGCTGCAGTGCACCTAATGTGACCATTATAATAGCAAACATATCATATTACTCTCTGGATTATATAAAATGCTTAAAAGTTGCATCTTTTGTTTCACACGGTTAACTTTTCTATTACCTTTGGTTCATTTTGACCCATTTTCAGTCAAAATACACTATAAATACATTGTTTTTTGATATTGGAAAAAGGCTTTGTCACACTGTCAGAATGCTGAAACGAACACATTTCATAAAACTTTTTTTTTAAAACAACTCTTCAGAAAGAAAGTGTTAAAGTCCCCCTGTGGTGAAAATCAAGCTTTTAGTGTTGTTTTTATGTCTGACGTCACAAACTACCCTGTAACCAATCATGTCAATGAGTGGATATTTGAGCTGGTGTGAGTGAGTGGAGGTGGGGCTAATTTGTATATTCATAGAAAACAAATTTTTAAAGGTGACCTATAATTCAAAATTGAATTTACCTTGGTATAGTCAAATAACAAGAGTTCAGTACATGGACATGACATAGAGTGAATCTCAAACTGGACTGTTTTCGCGTTCTCATTTAATTTACGTTTATGAAAAACACCCCTGAAAAACGGTCGGTTCTCCACACAATACCGACTGTGACGCAATAGTCGGGATCATTAATATGTACGCCTCCAAATATTTGCATAATGCCAGCCCATGTTCAATGCCAGGCGGAACTGCGCAGCCGAAGCATGGCAGTTGCTCAGTGTGGATGTACACATGAACACAAAAGTATTTTTTAGTTCCTTCATCTGAGCCTCTGAAGAAACAATGGGTTAATTTTATTTTCTCTGGAAATTTCCAAACATTTCATCGACGACTGTTTCCTCAACTTGGGCCAATACAGAGCTGGCCTCGGATCGAGCTACCAAGCAACACTTTCTGATTGTTCAAGTTCAGACAGGTAATCTTTCTCTCAAAATCGTTCAATACTGTTTATGCATCAGTAAGTCAAGCCAGTGACTAAAATATCAGCTTCACATCGTTTCTTTTAGTAGGATGAAAATAATCGTATTTAAATTGTGAACAAATTATATACAGAAAGCGATCAAAGAACAATCTTTCCACACAGCGCGAGTTTATCTGGACACTTGCCAAACTCGTTATGAAATCAATGACGCACGTTACTGCACAACGAAGCTCTTACTGTATTTACATCATCGTGTTTGCATTGGTGAAAGCAGAGAGAGTGCAGAAACTGCTTTGCAATGATAAGATCTTCATTCTCGCGATCAACACACTGTCATCTGCTCAATGCTCATCACGGCAACATTTTATGTGATGGGAATAGATCTAAATACTTTAAAAACATCTCACGATTCGTTTATCTCGATAGCTGTTATAGTAAAAACGTATAGCAGTAGGCTAGGAAAAATGCCATTTATTTCTAAATTATGATTATTTTTTATCTAAAAAACATACTAACATTATAAGGGTAACCCAGGAAACATTATAAAAAAAAAAAAAAAAACATTCTAGGGCACCTTTAAGGAAAAAAAACTTTTAAATATTTCATTTTGGTGATCAAATATAAGTTTTAAAGGGATACTCCACTTTTTTTGGAAATAGACTCATTTTACAACTCCCCCAGAGTTAAACTGTTGAGTTTTACCGTTTTTGAATCCATTCAGCCGATCTCCGGTTCTGGCGGTACCACTTTTAGCATAGCTTAGCATACATCATTGGAGTGGACAAGACCATTAGCATTTCTAAAAAAAAATGACCAAAGAGTTTCGATATTTTTCCAGCAGGCGTAATGATATGACGCAGCGCCTGAAAATAGTTCCTTTGTGTTGACGGAAGGTAGCCTATTTTCAGGCGCTGCGTCATATCATTACGCCTGCTGCTCTCATGGTACGGCAGTGAAGTTTCTTGATTATTACGCAGGAATGAGAGTATAGTTCCTAGCCATATCAGCCTAGAAAATCGCAACTTTACATTTTCCGTCGGTCTTAGTGCACGATGTAACTAAAGAAGAGTCAAGTTTTAAATAGCATAGAAATGCTAATGGTCTTGTCCACTTCAATGATGTATGCTAAGCTATGCTAAAAGTGGTACCGCCAGAACTGGAGATCGGCTGAATGGATTCAAAAACGGTAAAACTCAACAGTTTAACTCTGGGGGAGTTGTAAAATGAGCCTATTTCCAAAAAAAGTGGAGTATCCCTTTAAGGGATAAAATTATTGACTACAGGGGGACTTTAAACTTGACCCATATTTGACCTTTCACCACTGGCATTTCGGCATTTAAGCAGCGTTGAATTCTTAATGAATCAGATAGAATTCTCCTTAATTTTCTAATTGTAATTTTCTCTTTAAACACTACCTGACAACAAAAACTGCCACTCTTTCATAAACACCAGTATAGTAGAATAGTTTGTTTTGCATTAGTGGGAAATGTGGGATTTATTGTGATGGATGTGGAAAGTGGGCTCATATTGACAGCTCCTGACATAATGGAGATTTATGTGTGAAATGCATCTGAACTAAAATGGCAGCTCTGTGTGCATTTTGTTAATTGAACAGAATAATACATAAGTTGTTATGAAATGTGTCAGATATTATGAACTGCTAAAAGGGATGGCAAAAAGAGGACACCCTTTCATTGAGGTTGTGTCTTGATGTACTTCTTTTTACATTTCTTTTTACTCCAGTAAAATAATGTGTTGCTCAATATTCAATTATATGAGGGGGTCTTTAGACCTGTTGTATTCTAGTCAATAATTCATACATTTTTAATGATTTTCAGAGAGGATCAAATTTCTTAGGACATTAAAGCTATGTTCAGACTGCAGGCAAAACAGATTTTTCTCAAAAAAGCGCCCTGTCGAGTTGCGGTGCAGAACTCAGAATGGTATGTCCTTTCCTTGGACATACCATTTGAACACTGTATTAATACTTCCGGCATTTTCGTCACTAGTTTTGACGTTCTCTACACATACGACAGTTTGAAATCCGATTTGAGCAGCCAGAGCGTCCAGACTGAGACGCATCTGTAAAAATCTGATTGGAATCACATTTCAAACCACTTCCATATGTGGTTTGAATCAGATTTGAAAAAAAAATAATCTGATTTTACGTTTTTTTTTTTTTTTTTTTTTGCTGTGCGGACTTTCAAAACCCATTTCGATAAAATCTGGATATGCAAAAAATCTGATTTTTGCTGGAAGTCTGACCATGGCCTAAGACAAAAGTTGCGTTGTTTAGAAGAAAAAAATCACATATGATATCTCTATAATTTCTCAGTAGATGCTCCTGAACAGCT